GTTCCCTGGGTATGATTTTTGGGAGCTCTACAGACCAAATAACACCCCCTCCCTCCTCTTCCTCTCTTTCTCTCTCCACGACTCGTTCTGTCTCTTGACATTCACATGCTATATTACGTAACACAGTTGTGGTTGGTAAGGGGGAGGGGGGTGGAGTTGAAAGCTGGAGGAGTCGTCCAGGAAGGGGGGGGGGGTGTTTTAAGTCTCCTTCCATCACAAATAAATGCACGGTTTGCTGCACAAGCGTCTTTGATTGAGGAGAACTCATGAGGTCTGTTTTTTTTTTTTTTTTTTTTAAAGACTGTCTTCTATTTCTGAAAGGCGGCCGTGATATAAATAAAATACACCCCTCCCCTTCACGAAATCTGTCATCCACACACATCCACTCTCACATTCAAAAAAAAAAATATGGTCAACTGAGTCGTGTAAATATCCATAGGGTGAATGACACATGATGCTGCTGTCTAACGGGACGGAATCTGTTTAATCACTATTTTTTTGTCATTTTAAGATGAACTTGTTATGATAACTGAGTTACATTTGGTGTTGTTTCTGCCTTTGGCGAGGCGAGGAGGTAAAATCTTCAAATATTTTATTTTGTTGTGATCAAAGTGTCCTCTAGGCGACACGAGCGCGCATATTTCCTTGCACCTTTTTTCTTTCTTATCGTGCAAGAGGAGGAATTTTTTAAATACGGTCTTCAGAGCTATACTCATATCCAGCAGCAAAGTGTAGGCTGCTCGGTATTTATAGCGATAGTGTGTACATCCACGGCGATCACACGTGCAGCAGCCGCTTCCCTGCACTCCTGCTGAAGTTGACATGTTAACACTCACTGGCTGCTATATTTAGCCCAGCCTCACAGTGCTGTTACTATTCCCAGCATTGTACATGAGGGGGCGGACGGTGCAGGGTGTTTTTTTTTTCTTTCTATAAAACGGGAAGAAATAAAAAATCCCTTTTCACGACAGATTTTTTTTTTTTTTTTTTTATTTGCCACTGATAAAAGTGGCCACCAAAATAAAAGAATCCACGAGTGAAGGGCGATAGGAAGTGTTTGAATTGGTGATAAATAAATGCTTAAACAGAAACATGCTGATCGTGTTGGACGCCTCTAAGGACTTTTGTGAGTAGCTGACCTTTACCTTTGAACGAAGTCAACAAGACACGCTAAAGAGATTTCCACACATCTTAAATCATCATCTATCAAGTCTTTATAATGTCTACCTGTACAGACCTGGTAATATAGGGATCTTAAACTCACACCTGAAGCACCAGTGTTGAGTAAACGCCACATTAAAACTCTTGTGTTTTCAAAAGGAAAGTAGAACTTCTACACTTCAATTAAATGTATTTGCATTTAGGTTTTTGTTAAGCAAAGCTCTCCTTAGATACATTTTGGGTAAGGGATGCCAGTTGAAGTAGATTTTCAGCACCATGGAGAGCTCCCATTTGAGCTCCACTTGCCAACACTCAAGAAATTCTCGAGATTTTCTCTCTCCTAACACCAACTTCTTCTAGATACTGTAGGGAATTTGTTGGGGGGGGGGTGTCCTGATGTGTCCTTGAGCAAGACACTTAACCCAGAGTTGCTCCCACTGCTTTAGCGGCGGCGTATGAATGTGTATGAATGGGAACAAGAACTTCATATTAAATGTGTAATCCCTGAAAGTGCTGTAGATCAAATATGGATCACACAGAATCGGGATGGTGGTAGTTTAGCTTTAAAATGTTCATGTTGCCTAAACTCAGCATCCTCTTTTCAGGACATATATCTTGGATGAATGTTCTCTGTGGCATTCTGTTGTTCTTTCCAACTTAAATAGCAGCCCTAAACGCAACACACGACAAGAAGAACCAGAGTAGGCTTACACGTGAACGCACCGTGTACAATTACAATAGTTTGGCCTGAACTCAGACACGATTATAGTCTTTTCTGAAACCTTTTGACTATTCAAAATCTAATTGAGCATCTTTAAATGTATAGATAAAGTGCGTTTTCAGGAGTGGGCTGTTGGGCTACAGTAAGAAGGCCTTATTTATTATCACCACCACCCACTCCACCCTCAAAGGTTGATAACAAAGTGAGGAAAACCCATCGACTTCCACCAGGTGCTTCAGGACTATTGATTTACCTTCTTTACCTTCACTTCTTCTCTCACATGGACTCGTACAGTCGCTCCTCCCTCCTCTTTCTCTCACTGAGGGTCGTCTTCGCTTCTTCTCCCGCTGCTGCCGCCCACTCCTCCTCCTCCACCACTTGATTATTTTCAGCTCCTGTGTGTGTGTGTGTGTGTGTGTGTGTGCAAACGCATGTGCCATGCATAGGCTGACTCGCTGACTGACTGGCTGGATGACTGGTTGGTTGGTTGGCTTGCTGGCGGGCTGGTTTGGGAAATACCTGGTCACGATCAATGACGAGAGGGTTTATCTTGGTTGCATACCGCCCTCTACTGTCCTGAAACGAGAACTGAAACCAAGACCTTAAACGCACCATGGAGCCTGTGCCAAAATATGTACAGTATCTGAACGAAAAAGGGGAGAAATTAGAAACACAAAACTAAAACAGAGTACACGTATGCAGTGTAAAGATGAGTTTGCAACAATAAAATGAGTCACAGAAGCTTTTATGACTGTTCTCACATGAATATACACTTAAATACACGAGTTTTGCCTCCAATTTTAAATCTGTTTGGTGGCGTTTTAGCTTTAAATAAACGGTGTACTGACTGATGATGGTATATGAATAGTATCTGACAAACAAAGCAGGTCAATTATCACTATTTTCATCCCGGTTGATGAATTAAGGAGGACATATTATTAATATTATTATTATTATTATCATCATCATCATTATTTTTTTGTTCTCCGGACCGCAGTGCTCATTCACACCGCTTAGCCCAAGCAGAAAAACAAAGAGAGACAAAAAGACATCATGAAAGCTTTAAGTGACTCGTTGGGTTGGGGATAAAAATAGATTTGGTTGCTCTGCGAGGAAAACCCTGGTCTCGATCGCCCTCTAGAGGGGAGACACTGTCAAAACATGATGAAATACACTGACGGAAATTGTTTTTTTTTCCTGCTGTTTCCAGCGATAAAGGTGCAGAAATGTTCAACAGTGTGCGCTTAAAACTCTGAAATGTTTAAAGTTAACCCCGTGCCTTTAATGCTACACTCATGGCTAGTTTAAGAGACATTTCTGCCATTTTAAATTGTATTTTTGTTGATTTATTTTGCACTTAGGACATCTTAGTTAACATCTTTCTCAGCAGAAAAAGATGATGATCTTCCTTAAGGGGATGATTAAACAAAAAAAATATTTGCTGCATTACCGTAATTCTCGTATTAACGTCGCAACATCAAAAAAGCGTACTCTGGCTGCATTTGTGTCACTTAATGATATGTTACCTTTATGTCAATTGTTAATGGAGGTTTAGTTTTAGCCAGACATGTCTCTGTAAAATTCTGCCACAGAGTCGATTCAGAAAACTGAGAGTCTGAGCACCCCTCCTCCTCCAGAGCATCCACCTACACACAGCAGCGCACACGTGTCTCCACATGCAGATCTGTAGCACCCACTGAGAGCGCGTCTCTCTCTCTCTCTCTCTCTCTCTCTCTCTGTATGTGTGTGTGTGTGTCTTTTCTATCTTTATGAGAGCCGGATTTGTACCCTTTTTATTTATTTATTTTTGCACAAGAAGAATGAATAAGATCTGGCGCCGAATGAGTAACAACAACAGCCTGATGTGATTGAGAGGTAATGCTAAACAAATAAAAGTCACTAAAGTAACTTCAGGATTTGGATTTGACTTGGATCTAGGCATGAAGTGATCCCATAACTTTGACACTGGATACACTTGTGTTTATTTTCTATTTTTGATTTATTGACTTTGACGGATTGACACAAAACCCACTTCTTGAAAAACCCCCAAAAACAAATGATGTTAAGAAAAGTGACATTTACCTTTTCAATCTAACAAGGAATCTCTGCCTAAGGTTCAGCTCTATTAGAAAACAGATTGGAGACTTAAATAGTAGTTAGTTTTGTATTTGATTTATTTGTATTTTTATAAACACCTGTAATTTTCTTGCTCATTGCACACTGCACTTCCACTTTTATCACTTATCTGGATGCTACATCTCTGCTGAACTTTCATGTTTTTTGTATTTATGCACCTAATGTTAGTTGGATTATTTCTTAGTGTTGTTTATGTATTGTGTGTTTCCGGCTGCAAACAAATATCCCTGTGGGGACGATAAACATACTGTTGACCTTTGTATACCTTCGGCAAGTTTTGTATTTAGTAAATTTGCAGGTTTTAGTATATGTATATTTTTATGTTACACTACCAAAATGAGGCATCTACAGGTTTGCTCCAACAGTATTTTGTTGTACTTTTACAGTTACATAAAGATATCGTAATCTTAAAAAATTAACTGAATTCAAACACTTAGATTCTGAGGTTGAAGTTCATGTTTTAATGGAGGGATTTCCATAAAGTTAGGGCTGGGGTTAAAGTCTACCTGCTCAGGAAATGCCGCACAGATTTGGTTGGAGTGTCCGTTTCTTTCAACAGGTCTGAGTTTTTTGAGTGGACTAAATCTAATCAATGAAAAGGTTCTCAGAAGTTTATGTAATGTGTGTAGGAAAATGTGTGCATTAGTTAACGTGCATAAAACTAAAAGAGCCTGCACCACCAGCATGTGTAAAAAAAAAAAAAAAAGGCTTGTTTGTGTATGTGTATTCTAAATGTACATTGTGTGCTAACACTAGCTCCGTCCACACGGCTCTGGTACAGATAGCGCGGTGTAAAGGAAAGGCAGGAGAGTGGAGAGGATGAACGGGTGAGTGACTTAAAGGAGGCCGGGAGAAGAGAGGAACGTTCAGGAAATGTTTTGAACATGAAATACAAAATTCTACAAAGAGAAAAAAAAGCTAAAAAGGTGAAACTGTGTAGAGTTGTGGGCCGAGGCTGAAAAATGCTCCAAAAAGACCAGAGTTCATACTTCCATACAAGTTTATGATAAAAATCCAATGAAACAACATCATTGATTCATACAAAGTAGCATAGTCATCCAATTCAACTTAGGCTCTATTAAAAAAAAAGAAAACAAGATTAAATAAAAAAGGTAGAAAGAAATGCATTCATCAACATGTTGCAAAACGAGAGGATCTTTATCTTTTCCTACGACAATCTGACAAAAATATTTATCAGTTACAACTTGGCAGTCTTTTGTTCCACAAAAATACACAATATTTAAAAAAAAAAAAATTACAGAGGAGGAACTAAAACATTTAGATTTACTTGAACTATCGCCTTGGCCAAGAGGAACACGCGGAGACAAATGTTAAAAAGTCTGAGACTGCTGTCTGAAGACTGGAAATTGAACCCACACCGCCGTCCAAAAAAGACATGTGGAAAAAAAAAAAATCTGGATGAGTGGGCTGGAAGGTGGAAAGATGTGGAGACCAGTTTAAAAAAAAAACAAAAAAACAGAAGAGTAGGTGACCGATAGTCCATGTTGGGGAGGAAAAGATCTCGATGTGATGCAGTTCAATGAGCAATCTGTACTGTGGATGTGTTTCGCAGCGTCTCAGTAGAGCCGGCCTCGGCTCCTGTTGCCTCTGGCTCCAAAGCCTCGTCCTCGGCCGCCCCTGAACCCACCACGCTCTGGAGTCAGACAAACAAACAGGTTTGTGGTTAGTTAGTCGTTTTATTTTATCCTGGAGAATATTAGAGTTGACGCCCACAATAGAGGAAGGAGCAAACACACAGACAGATAAACTTTGCATCTACTTATTGCACGGTTTCCAAATCAACCCAAACTCATCATTTTTGTACAGCAATGTCTTGTCCCTTAAGCAGATAAATAATGACCAGCTTAAACATTATGGCCCCCTAAGCGATACAACTGCTCAACCATAAATCCATATACCGATATGATACCACTATTTTAAACTTTGAGGTGATAACAGTAAAAAAAATTAAAAAAAATCAGGCGACATTGATACCTGCTTTGATAACACAACAACAAAAATGAAATCCTGAGCCTCCCTTATTGGGTCGTTTCTTTCTTGTATATTCAGAATGGCGACTCACTAATTCACTCTCAAGTCTGAGGAAGAGCATGTCGGCTTGAAACATCGCTTGTCAATAATCTACATCAAAACTCAGTAATACAACCCTAATGTGCAACACAATCTAAAAGAAAAGGTGAACATGCTTGACTGAATAAATAATAAAAAAAAAAAAAAAAGGTGTCACCGAGTGTTCCTCACCGTAGCTAAAATTGCCAATGGTGGCGCTGTACTTGCCGCTGGGGGGGTTGTAGATTTGCCGTGCGTCCCTCCGGTGCTGAGGAGAGATCTGTTTTTTTGTGCTGCCTCCGGAGCCCATCTCCTCACCTGACGGACGCTTGGGTCTGAAAACACACAGAGAAAGAGTTGATGATTAACACACTGTCAGCTGATGTGTGGTCGGCGTCTAACAGCTAGACCAGAATTTCGTCTCTATATCACTTGACGTCTGCTACAAGAAGCGGGAGCAGACTTACGCTGCTGCTGCTGCTGCTGCTGCCTCTGCCTTCTGGACCGGTTTCCAGGACAGAGTGACTGTGCTCTTGAAGGACGGCGGGTTATGGAAGAGATCCTGGAACAAATTGGAAAGAGGGTGACACATTAAACAAAAGGACAAACAGCATAAAACTTCAATTAACAGCCCAGACTTTTATTTACTTCAGTTTAATAAATGACCCTTCCTTTCATTGAGACGGGCAACATTAAGAGACGGGCCTTTAATTATTTTCAAACACAACTCGTGCACAGCAAAGAAAGACTTTAAAGTTGTACATTTTCTCCAGAGAGAACGTCTTAATGTGCAATAAATTAGGAGATTGATACATTTGTTTAATCACAAATCATGTATTTCATCTCGCTGTGTAAGACAGCCAAACCATACCAACCTGCTGCTGTGCTGACGAGGGGGAGACACCTTTATTATATTTTTGACGCCCAAACTCATCAACATTTAATGCAAACAGGCCTCTTATTGAGAGCTGCCTTAAATCGACAAAATGTGCAGCAACATCCGCTTAGTAAAAAAGACTGGGCCTTAAATTGGGATGGGCTTTTATCTGAAGTTTTACAGTAGATATATTTAAAAAAAACATTACTTTCATCAAATAATTGAGTAAAGGCAAGGCACAAATACAAGTGTAAAATATCGAAATACTGATAAAATAGGAGTTCATCAAATCAATGAGAATACAATTATTTGTTATAGAGACTGAAGAAGCAATTAGATTACATAATAATTGCGTGTGAAGTGCAATGATTGTGCAAACACTTTAAAATCTATTCTTAAAATTAATGGGGAGCGAGTGCAGAGATTTTAAAATCGGAGTGATGTGCTCCATTTTTTTGGTCCCAGTCAGATTTCTAGTCGCAGCATCTTGAATACGCTGCAGCTGTTAAGGGCTAGGAAGTCCAGAACCCAATTAAAAAGTTGCAAAGATTGTGAAATTGTAAGTCTCCATTGGCAGTTTGTAAATCAACAAGGTTCTGTTTGTGTAATTGCAGAAGATTGTTTTAATACTCAGGTTTTTAAGCTTCTTCAGCGCTGTTTTAAATGAATGAGGGTCGTCCCTTAAAACACTCACAAAGCCTTGCCTGTGAAGCCACTACGAAAACATCATAATAAACAACCTGTGCACATTTAAATTTGTTGTTGTTTTTTTTTTGTTTTTTTTTATCTAGTACGTGTGTATTGTGTTATGTTGACTTCTATCACGAGACAGGCTGCCTAGTGTCTTTGCTCCCTCAGTGTTAATGATTCCGCTCACCTTGATGAGGATGTTGATGTTATTTGTGATCTTCAGGGCCACCACTTTGATCTTGTTCTAATTGCAAAAAAAAAAAAAAAAAAAGGCGAGTTAGTATTTCATATATTTAACAGCAGAACATTTAAGAGCAGAAAACATTTGTTTGCATTTTTGTCGACTTTATGCAGAGGTTTCCTGCAAACAATCGTATATGAACATGATGCGTTACCTCGTCTGTCTTCAGAGCGTCTCCCGACTTGCCTTGCAGTGCTACTCGCAGCTGTCTGATATAAACCTGCAGGCCTCTGGCAAAATACTGTAACCTGATGAACACAAACACAAGAACATTCAGTGCCAATTGAAAAGACTCCTCAGTGTAAACATTCACTTCACTAACTGAGCTCTGGGACACTTCTTTCAGAGTCATTCCTCACCTGATCTTAAAGTCTTTGAGGCGCTCAGCGTCCACTTTGTCGATGAGGAAGTCCGGCAGCTTCTTGCCCAGCTGGTGGAAGCCGAAGAGGAGACACTCCACGTAGCTGAACTGCAGTTTGGGCTCCTCGTTTGCTGGGTTCTCTCCGTTCTCCACCTCCTCTGGTGGCAGAGGCATGTACTCCTGAACAAATCGAAAAAGGGAGAAAAATTAAAGACACAACTTTGTGTCTGCGGTCGTTTCAGATGCTTAGAGTAAAAAAAAGAGACAGGTGGAGTATGGGTACAAAAGTTAAGACTAAAGGTTCTTCATGAGATCAAGTTGTGTCCTCAATCTAAAACATGTAAACCAGGTTTGAAAGGGAACCCTTTGTTACCCCTGTAAGTTTGATGCAGTTTTTAATCAATTTTTTTTTTTTAAAAAGGACCTTATAGTGGCTGAACAGGCTGATAAATCTGAGCATATGCATCAAACAAACTTGTTGAAATCAGCACTTTATCACCTGGAAGCACCTTTCTTTAATCCTTCAAACTCTTCAGCAGTGAGTCAGATGAAACATTTACAGCAGGTTTGGCAGGAGCCAAGATATTACACCACTCAAGATTTTTGTGATTTTCACATGACTTGTCAAATTCTTATTTTTTTTTAAAGGCTCATAGGCAATCTTTTGAAACTTAAAAAATATCTATCTAGTGGGCACCTGTGGCCTAGTGGTTCGTGTGTGGGCCCCATGTGCAGAAGCTATAGTCCTCCGGACAGGCGGCCCAGGTTCAAGAAACTCGTGGCTGGCGCTCCCCCCCCCTCTAACTCTATCCAGTGTCCTATCTGTAAACTAAAAAGGCATGAAAAGCCCCAAAATCTTTATTCAAAGGCCTTGTTCATGTTTTCTGAAAAACTAATTCTGGGGTGTTACAGCATTTGGCCTTCATTATTTACTTCCCGACAAAGGCTACTGCGTAAAATTGATTGAAATGAATTCATAACAATGATTGCCACATTGTTTTATGATCCCAAAGTTGATATCTACCTTTCTTTCATTGTAGAACAGTACATATATCTGCCAGTCTGTATTTGATCTAAGAATAAATCCACTAGTGTTGCTTTCTGTCCATCAACAGGACTCCAGGTTCTCTTACCAGCAGCTTGGTGAACAGCATGTTGAGGTTGCTCTCCAGCTTCTCCATGTCTCCGCAGAACGGACTCATCTCAGCCAGCAGCTTCAGCACCTACACACACACACACACACACACACACACTTAGCAGATCTCCTCACACAGTGTAATGCGCATTGCTAATGAGAAACAGTGTTGTGTGGAGCCGACTAATGACCCATTAACAGCATGCAGTTGGCTGACACCTCTGACAGGTGGCTGCCACGCTGACTTTGTTTACTACAGCCGCTCACCAAATGTCAGACGTTAGGAGCATAGACCCCACACCGGCGGACATATTGGTCAGGCATCTTAACGATAGACGTGCTGATTCATGCTGAATAGATCACGTTTGAGAAACAAGTCTTTTTTAATCTACAACGCTGAAGAATTACTGTTAATTTGAGTGCACATAACAGAGTGATGAGGACTGTTTTATGCTGGAAGGTTGTGTGTTTACCTATTTTATGCACACAACCTTTCACTTTCACAAGAGCAGCCGGTGTATCGCCTCTGAAATCGGATTATTTTGTACTTATGATTAATCCCTTATGTCTTTTTTGAATCCAAGCTGTACAAATTAATTAACGTTCTGACAAGTAACTTAAACCAACACTCACCTCCAACTGAATGTCCAGCTCTGCCACAGGACTCGTCAGGGCGCTGAGGTTTGGCAGGACGTGTTCACAGAAGTAGGTTACAAAACGTGTGGAATGGACATTTTTCTGAAGGACAGGAAAGAACAAAGTCGGACAAGTTTACACTTTAATTTTAGGGAACAGTGATGCTTTTAGATGAGTCTTAAAATAGCTGTTATGCAGAGCTGCAGAGATTTTTAAAATAATAGACGAATAACAGCTGCTTCTACAATATGTTTAGACAATATCTGATCGGTTACAGCCTGAAAATTTTGATAATGTGTGAGACCCCACACCTGACTTTAATGATAAGTTTGGCAGTGTTGTCACTGTAATGTGTGGAGACCAGCGATATGACCCCAACCGCACACCACACACTGACAGATTCATTCACCAACAACCAGAGTTCAGACTCATAAACGGGAAATATTACAGAATCTCTCGCCGTCAAACTCAACCTTAAGAGTAAAACAAACATGACAGACAACGACCGGGGGGAAGAATTTGCGACAATTTTTGAGCTCCTTGCACAAAGAAAAAGGCAACACTATAAAGATAAAGATGTGGAGACGATTTGAACGTGTTAGAATGTGTAATATTTATGGTTTTGAAATCCGGGAAGTCCTTCCAAACACCTTACACCACATAACCAAACGAGCAGATAATCTGAAAAACCATTAAAAGAAAAGAAGGACTTTGCCAAAATCAGCCCGATTATCTTCTAGTGTAAATTCTGCTTAACTCGTTTGATGTTAAGTTTGTTAGTTGTACTCACCGAGAACAGGGGCAAGGCCTGGCGTGTGCACTGCAGCAGGCGATCAACAGTGTCGGGGTCGGCTGGGTTGAGAGCCTGCTCCAGGAAAGCCTGCTCCACCACCAGCTCCACCAGCTGCTGCCGGCCGTTCACCGTCTGTAGGATCCGCAGTCCTGACACGACGCGCATCAACAGCACAAACTCCTCTCCCGTCACATCCTCCAACACCTGAGGGAGAAGCATCAACATGTTTATTTATCGAGTCAACGCGCATCATGCTGCATCAATTTTGAGCTTTTTATGACAGAGTTCATTTCAAAAATACATGTGTTTTGCAACAGAGGAAACAAAGATTTAGTTAAAGTATGACATTAAAAGCTCATCACATCAACACCTTCATGGACAATTCAGCAGAACATTCAGGTTTTACCAGTCCAGAATTAGTCTCAACACATTATCATTGAATCTCTCAGTTTGACCTGAATTACCTGTCAGAATTAAACCGTATACACCATGATCAAAGATCAGTAACTCTTCACCGTGTGCTCACCTTCTTTGTCTCTGCAAACACATACTCCTCCACCTCCTTTGTCATGACGTCCTCTGGCAGGGTCTTCAGTTTAGCCGACAGAAACTTGATGGCCCTTTCCCGCACGATGTCCTCGCCCTGCAGGACCTGAGAGAAGAGGCCTCCGAGAGTACCTGCATAACAACACACAGACGCAGAAGATGGTATTTAGTCCATGATTTCAATATATACAGTATATATATATATATATAAATTATTGTGGACACAGCCGTACATTTTTTTCTAAATGTTCTTGGTGTGATGGATGACTACTCTGGGGGTCTTTTAAACTCATATCTGAATAGAAGGACGTTTGGAAGACGCTTGCTGTAAAACCTGGTGTGTATGACTGCTTTTAATACCTATTTTCTTAATCTAAAAATAAGGCTCATCGTACACACCTGTGCAACCAATATATCAGAATAAAATGCTGACAACCTGATGCAATTGAAAATTCATACCCGTTCAGTGTGTATTACTAGCTGATTGCAAGTTGTGCTGGCATTTCATAGCGTCACAGACCAGGCTGGATGAGATACTTTTTAACATCTCTAACAGATGATTCTACCAGAGCGACACAGCTGCACACAAACGGAACATAGTGGACTTCGCTGAACACAATAGAAATTGTCCCACAGGGAGACAGTTTAAACGTTTTTTTTCCTTTCTGGGATACCTGCCCAAAACAGACTGCGTCTTATTTGCTGATGAGATTTTTATTACAATACTCAAAACAAGCAACATCTTTAGTTTCACAAGGCCAAATACCTTAACTACACAAACAACAAATATGACAACAAACTTTCTCGACATATTGAGAAATGACATTCTTGATATCCCGTGGAGGCCTTATAAGAGTCAGAGACATTTTCATGGAGTCATTTTTCTCCTTAGACCTGAACAAGACCCGTCTGACATGCACTTACCCCTAGCATCCATCTTGAAGATTGAAATAAGTGCCACGTTCACTTGGTTGAACTCTGCTGTATCATCTGAAAGAACAAACAATTACAGGATCTTTAGAAGTAATTCTTCCAAGATAATAAATCCATAATAGCATAATATCACATCAAAATAAAGACGAGACGAACTGTAAAACATGAGATCTGATACCTGTCTGCAGGAGCTGAGTGAGAATATCTGCAACTCTGAGGATGTTGTCTCCAGTCGCAAACCGAGGGAGCTCCTTGATCGCCTGCCGCCGGATCTGGACAAAGACAAGTAAACATTCACAATAAGGGGGGGTATATTATGAAATAAATAAGGGTATGGAAACAATTATGAGTCCATTTAGTCAAGCAAAGAAAATCTAAATCGCCCCTAGAAAGGTCACTTTTACAACGAGTGATCTTAAAGGACAAGACAAAAGCCTGCACCCACCACAGAGTCTGTTAGGTACCCCGACAGAAACGTGTTCTAAAATACTCACCGACACGTCCTCATCTTCACAGAGATCAAGCTGGGCATTAATGGCCGCATCAGCCAATTCCGGAAAGTTGCCAAAGAACTTGGGAATAAACTGCGCAGCCAGGCGCTTCTCTTTCGCCCCCCCCTTCACACCATCCAAGATCACTTGGTATGCATCTTTGTGCTGCAGAATTACAATGTGAAAAAGAGGAAATTGATTGCATTGTCAAGACAAAGAAGCAGTATCACATTATGATTCATGCACAACCTCACAATATAATATGGTGCAGGGTATTTTGGTCCAAAACTCCAAGAAATACTGCATGTAGCTCACGGTTGTGAACATGCAGAGTCCAGTGCATGTGTGTAAATACACCACCGTGCACTGGGAATGCGCTTTAACTATCGTATGTGGGGACAGAACTACAATCTGAATAAGCCCCATCACTTGGATGGAAATGCTGGAGTTACAGTCTGTTATTGAGAGACATGCTTTTCTCACACGTGTCCAAATTACACAAATAGGAGACATGTATTAATTGGGGATGTCAGAGTGGGGTTCCTACACACTGATACAATGAGAGGTGAAGGTGTGCAAAGTTTGTAATGAGTGCATAACAAAGATGTTGTGAAGCTGCAATGAGGGCAAGCACTCTCTTCTTATAGCCAGATGTCTGGAAAGCTCAGTCCCTAGTAAGAAATACTTTATAGTTACTGGTACAAGCAAACTGGGTGATTAAAAATGTATTTCAAGACCATTTAGATTTAGACAAGATTTTCCCTTGGCAGAGATGTAGCACCTACCAGTTTACTGACCTGTGAATGACTGTTTATTGTGGCACTTCGGGGTTAAGTATTGAAGCAACTCGACGTCGAGTAACATCTACCTAGTGTTTCGGTTTCACCGTGTTAACTGGGGTCTCCGTGGTTGTCGTAGTTACGACAGGACTCAAGACAGACAGCGTCCCATGTTTCTTTTGTTTAGTTTTTCGAACACAACGTCACAATATCAAAATCAAATATTTATTTAATAAGAATATTTTTTTTTAAAAAGAGAGGCATTAGTGGAGACACTTTAGGTTTACTACAGCTGCTGTAACCACGACAACCACAGTCGTCAGTTAACACGGTCACTCGTTTCAACGACACACCATCCACTAGCGTTACGTTAGCTAATGTTAGCTACATTAGCCTAGCGCAATCACAACAATGTTGGGTGGCTTTAGTTATACAAGTTATATAAACATGCTCACTGTCAAAGAAACACGATTATAGGAACAACGGTGGGACAAAATGGATATATTCGTCCTGTATTTACCTGGCTGAGGTCTTCCTTTGCATCAGCAAGGATCCCGTAGCTTCGATAGAGATCCTCAATAGTGACCGCCATCAGCGTGTCTGCCGCTCACAGATACAAGACTGCCGATAAAACCTCAGAAAAGACCCAATCAGGTGACCACGACTCTCTTTTGCGCGACTGCTGAACAAACAACGCCGTGTTTACTGGGTATGCGCTCTCCAGAAGGGGGACGGGGAGATGAAATTTCGAGAATCCAGTGAATGAACAACCCCTACTATCCGTCTTCCCGCACTGTTCTTATGGCGTGTTGGCTAAAAATGCTACGGAACAATGAGTAGGGAGCATGCGCGGGATAAGCGAATCACGCGGAGAGTTTTTTCCACACGTGACGACTAATGTGCGCCAAACTGGTGCGCAGGAGAATAAAAATGCGTACTGGATTTGTTCAAGAGCAGAGGTGATATTGTGTTTAAAAAAATGTATGTAATGTACTATTTCTAATTAATTTCATTTAACATTATCCCCTTTCTACGGATCCCCTGAAGTTCCAAAAAGTAAAAAATATATATATATATATTACACAAGTAAGATACTGACTTGAGCGAACGCATTTATTATCTTCTGCCCACAAGTTAGTATCTTCTGAGCACAATATAAGATTATAACTTTTTTCACTTTTTGGGACTTCAGGTGGTTCCATACCTTTTCTTTGTGCAAGTCATCATGCTAATTTTAAATATATGGTAAATGTGTTTTTTTACTTTCATTTCAGCACAAATCTCACCTAAGGACTATTTAAATAATGGGTAATATATTCAATTTTAAGTCATTTCAAATTTGTATATGTTTTTTGGAAGGCACCTCAAGACCCCCCTCCCCGTGTCTCGCGACCACCCAAAGGGGTCCCCACCCCCACTAACCCATTGAACCAATGGGTTAGATCCTCCATCAAGAGTATACCATCTATGATTGACAGCCATTGTTTGTGGTTTGGTGCCAGTCTTTAACAAGTTCTTAGTGATGGCTTTCTTTGCTGCTGCGAGATTCTTGTTTTTGTCTCCTGCATGCGTAGATCCTTCCGAGAGTGCCAGGTATAAAACGAGACATGATCGAGGGATTGCATTTACCCATCACTTTGCAGAGAGTTGAATGTATATCATCCCAGAAAGGTTTTATCTAAGTGCAATACCAGAAAATGTGTGTGTGTGTGGTTGGTTCCATGTTGTTGCATATTCTCTTGAGCATGGCTGTTGAATATTCATTTGTTTGGTTTTGATATTGGGTGTAATGAAGTATTGAATTTGATTGAAGGTCGTACAATATTGAATATTTCTTGTGGCAGGCTGCGGCTCCTTGAAGACTTAACTTAACATATGCTATTTATTCTAAGTAATGTTTGAACTCTAACAGACAGAGAAAAAAAAACACTCGACATCAGTGCAAACACTTTTATTGAACTAGTTAGTTGTAATAATAATTCTGTACAAGCGGTTTCCCCTTCAAATAAAATGATTCTTGCATAAAATGAATGTTTAAACACAAGGAAACCCTGGATCCAAGACAGGTGGCTTCACAGAAATCTGATTCCTGCTCCAAACTGGACCCCGTCACATATCCTGTGAGGAGAGGGGGAAATATCAGTTAAAAACAGGAGCAAAACAAGGTGAGAATCAGATTATTTCTGGGCTCCTCAAATAGCTCCCTCAGAGTTTGTGTGTAATCTTATCATGTGTATCTTCAGGATTGTTAGAATATTTACTGTTTTTTTTGTCCTTTTCACACATGTACACGGGTACGAGCTGAAAAAATTCTCCTCTACTGGCTTAACATAAAAGCTTGGTCTATGATTTTCTACTATAAGTAAAAAATAATAAATCATTAATTGTTTGTAGGTGGACCTTTGGACATAAAGTATACTTAGAGAACTTATTTATCCCAGAGGGCAATTCAGTTCCACAGTCCACTCAGACAATGCAGACATTTACAAACAAACAACAGAAGGAGATTAATCAGAGACAACAAACAAATCAGTATTTGACAACAGTAAGCATTGGCACACTGATACCCTCGTGTGGTCTCCTTGGGGAAGGACACCCACAAGGGCCAGATAAAAAGCACAGTTTAGAGCGTGTAACTGAGTAAATTGTGTGCAGTAAATTTCTTCAAAATCTGAATTTCTCAAAAAAGATCATAGCTGGCTTGCACAACACTTTCACTGGAGATAAATCAAGTACTATTTTTACTTTTTCTGAACAGTCGTACCTGTCTCCATTCTGGACTCCCATGGGAATGCAGTAATTCAGCTCCAGCCTGGCAATGTTCCCCAAACGCAGCACAATGCCCAGTCCATACGACCAACGGATGCATTCTGCCAGCTTCTTTAAATGTGCTTTTGGCCCCTCACCTGAAGGCAAACAAACACACAAGATTAGCCACACTGACAGCAATGCCACCTGCAAAATCCTACATTTGAGTTTGAGCTCCTCTTCTCCAGTTAAAGCAGAAGTCCTTCTAAACATTTCGTACAAGTGAGTAATAAAAACCATAATAACTTTAACGGTCATTTAACTGGGCCCCTGTTGCAAATGACTCACCATAGTTGAGGTTACAAAGGTTTCCTGCGTTCAGGAAGAAGTGTGTTCTGAAGAGGTCACCAAAGCCGCCCCGGCCTGGTCTGAAGGGTAGAGGCGTGTAGAGGTGGAGACCTCCAGCCCAGTAGGCCTCTCCTCCCAAGTAGTCACCTGCCATACCAGTAATCCCAGCACACAACTTTTCAATTAACCAGCAAACGTCAGTGTGATTACTGAACAACTCAGCCAAGTGAATGTCTCACCTTCACTCTGGGGGCCCATACTGTACATGCTGAAGCCCCGGATACTGGTGGGGCCGCCGAGGTAGAACCTGAAAGGTCAGCAAAGACAAAAAAACAAATTACAGGACAGAGTTATGTGATTTTTATGAATACAAGAATAATCTTAATTACTTTTTTTTTCTTCTTTTTTTTAAATCAGTTGGTTATGTTTTGAATCAGAGGTTTTCAAACTGTGTCTTAAGTCTCCACCACATAGAGGCAAAGAGGTTGTAAGAGGAAATTACAAAATGGTAAATGGATTTGAGCTTGTGTGGCACTTTTCTAGTCTTCTAACTACTCAAAGCACTTTTACACCGCAGGTCACACCTACACATTCACACACTGATGGTAGAGGCTGCTATGTAAAGTGACCATCAGTATTAACTAATCCCATTCATACAGATGAAAACACAGACGCCAAAGCAGCGGGAGTAATTTGGGGTTAAGTGTCTTGCCCAAGGACACATCGAACATGTGGCTGCAGGAGCTGAGGATTGAACCCCCGACCTTCTGGTTAAGAGACGACCGACTCTAGCAACTGAGCCGCAGCCGCCCAGCACCACACCATGTCTACTTTGAACAAACATTTGTGAATCAATTTGGAAAAGGCAGAAAAAAAAACAAAAAACAACTACTTTGCGAGTGAAAACAACAACAACATGTCGACAGCTAGAACTTGCACTATTCTTTCGGTGTGACTGTTTTAATTACACACAAAGAGGACTAAGATGCTAATAAACACAACAGCTACATCTTAAAGGTAACTGTTGATGCACGAAGCAGCCATGTTGGATTTTAGCTAGGACTACTGAGTTTCCAAGTCAGAATTCCGACTTCTCGGGGGGGCCTTCCTTGCTGACCTCTCAGATCACACCGGTTACTCAGTATTACTGACTTCTGAGATCAAATGAAACACCCCATCATAAAGTGTCTTCATGCTGGCTACTGTACGTCTTGTTCTTCACACATCATGAAGCCTACATCGAGATATGTAGTCTCCATGGTAATCTGAATGAGGTAATCTTGTTGAGGTAGTATTTGTTTCTTTGAAAAACAGTACGGAGGTAATATAGATTAGCCGATCCTTAATAGATACAGGTGGGATGTTGAAATCCGGTTTATTCTAATCCAGATTAAACCACTGAGACATCCGAGCTCAGATCTTTGTGATGATGGAAACAGGATGGTGCACTATCTTACTCTACCTGTCTGCTATGCTTGTTGGCTTGTCACCAATAGGAAGGAGTAAACCGCCCCACATGGAGGCAGAAAGGACCTGGAGGAGGCGAAGGGAGGAGTTAACAGAATGACAGAAACAACACATTAGAAATTAGCTGGTTCAAATTATTTAAGCAATATCACAGTAAAGTTCATGCTGTTGTACGGAACATCAGTACTGATGAGATTGGGTTCTTTGAGCCGATCTTATTTCTTTTATTCTTCTAATGAAGAAAAAGGAGGTAGTTATACACACATCAGGTGCAGGGCAGTGCAAAAATAGCAAAACTGAGGAAGAAGACAGGCCTGCACACTTGCTCAAATATAACCTATTTAAATAGGTACAGGGTCAAAACTTGGCCTTACAACTGTATAAACAATGAAAATATATCTAAAATTAGAACATGTAAACATTATGAACATCTGTCATTGAACAAACAAATCAGGTGTGTTTACGACTGTTAATGTTGTATGCTTTTTGATACGCCTTTGTTGCTGTTCAAGATTTTTATACGATGTATTTTGTATTAGTGTGTAAACAAGGTTCCCTGACAATATGTATGTTGCCTTTGTATGTTTACCCTGTATATTTTTTTTCTCGGTGTTATATTTGAATGTGATCACTATATATGTGTTTCACTTTGGGACATTTTGAATATTTGACCACACCTGCCATTAGTGCCTTTCAGCCTATCGGTGTACAAATGTATATATATGGTCGAAACGTTGTGATTAATAAAAACCTTTTTTGTGTGTGGGCCTACTGTATCCTCTTCCTCTTTTATCTTTCTAATGAATTTATTTCCATTAAACTCATGTTTCAGCTTTTATTACATCACAACTAATAGCTAATACCCCGCTCTAAACATTTTGATTACCTTTTTAATCTTCTTTAAGATTTCTCTTATGTTGTTTTGTAGCGTCTAGCCACATCTCTTTTAATTACTTATTTATCTTCTTACATCCTCTGACCTCTTGGGCTCACCCTAAGCTGCCTGTGTTGCCTGAGATATTATTATGTTGCCTGAATTCTTATGATGTTTTGGTTCTGATGTCGGTCAGGTTTTTGTTTTGGATCTTGTTGTTGTTGGTTGGTTGTCTCATCCGTGGGTTGCTTTGTTGTCCTGGTGTTTTGTTGCTGTTTGGGTTTTTATGCTTTGTTGTGCTCCAGCACGTGTCAAAGCACTTAGTAAAATCCTTGTTTAGAAAAGTGCCATACGATTAAAGTTATTATTATTTTTGCTGTAAAAAAGTAACCAAACAGCTACAACACGCCCACCTGTCAATCATGTCAGCTACGTCAGCAACTATTTTGATTTTTTTACCAGGCTGTAAACATGTTTATTTCTGCTGTAAAAACAGCTTTTTTTGAATGTGGTGTGTATTTCACTTTTGGTGCTTTTGCATAGAGCCTCAAGTGGACCCTCGACACTGGAGGATTTTGCACCCTCCATTGGTTGCTGCTTGTTTATGACTGAAGTGTATAAGAATGAATCTTACCGAGTCCCAGAAGAGTGTTTTGTTGAGCTGGATCTCAAAGTCCTCCTTCAGGAAACTGGCGTCTCCCCCAGTATAACCAGCAAGTTCCTGCAAAACCACAACAATCAAGTCATACTGTTTTTATAAAGCTTTGGAGAAAAAAAAAAATGTTCAGGCTTAGTGTTAGATTACAAACCTGATGGATCTTCAACAGGCCCCCTCTCCGTGGGATGATAGAGGAGTTTCTGGTGTCGATGACCATAGCATGCTGAAAAAAACAAAAACAACAAATAAACTAAAATGTATCTGTTGAAAGTCATTACTCAATACTGGATTATTGCTACAGTTGGTATTCAAATATGAACTTAACAGAAATCCCCCAGAATTCAAATAATACATGATAACATTTACCATGAGTTATGAGGAAACAAGTGCTATTTCAAAGCCCATAGTCAGATGTTTAAAGGTTAGATCCACTTCATCATGTTTCTCTAGTCTGTCTACAACAGCTCATGGGTGGGTGTTAAATGACAGTTTCCTATCTTACTGTTTTTATGTAGTTAGTTTGGATACCGAATGTTTTTAATTTATTTATCTAAAAGGAACAGACACAGAAACAGTCTGTTCTGAGCAGGGCTGAAATAGAGGGGTTTATAGGCATGATCAAATACAGGATCAGAGTGGATTTAGAACAAGAAACTTCACACACATGTTTTGGGGGACTTCTTTAAAACCTGCTGAAAAAGGAGGATAATACATGACCTTAAATATAAATCATGAGGTAAATACCGAAAGTGAGGACTTGAGGGAATGGCCGCTCTCCTCTCGAACGGCAAACGAGGCAGTCCGAGCCAGACAGCCCAGCTCTCTCCACACTCCCTCCCACTTTAAGGTTTGACTGGTCTTCCACACGGGGAACTGTGGGAGGTACATCAGGTATAATCAGACACACATAACAGAGTAACTGTTGACTTCTTAAAACATCAAGAAGTGATGTTTTATAATTTAATTGGAAGGATGTTTTTATTTTCCTTTTATAAAAAAGATGAATAAATGAAAAACCAAAAGTCCAAACATTTTGTTGTGATTGAAAAAAAGAGGCTTTAAAACATTCAAATCATTCAGCTCATTTTGTCAGTCATTTTAAAATACAGTCGTAATGTTAGTAGAACTCCAGGAGAATTACACAAAAAACTGTTTTTAGGGCGACGGATGGCCTAGAGTATATGTTGCCCCATTTACGGAGGCTACAGTCCTGATGGCAGCGGCCATGGGCTCAAATCCGACCTCTGCCCTTTGCTGTGTGTCACCCCCTCTCTGTCCCCCAACATTTCATGTCTCTCTTCAGCTGTCCAATCCAATGGAGGCAATAAAAGCCCCCCAAAAAATAACTTTAAAGAAAAAAAATGTGTTTGTCCAAACAACATTTGAATTTGCACAAAACAAAAAAGGCAAATAGAGAAAAATGACTTACGCTCATTTCTGCAGAGACGCCTCGATCCGTCTCCCTCAGTGAGCTCCATGGAAACTGACCGGTTACTTTGTACAAGTTGAGGGAGATACTGGAAGTGAAAAAAAAGAAAACAAGAAATATCACATCTTGGTTTTTATTGTTTCAAAATGTTTCTTCTTGGACAGATGTTGAATCTTTATTTCTTTGTGACTTGCAGCTTTTTCTCCTCATGTTTGATCCGCAAACTATTTCAATGCTAAATACAAACGGCCTCTAACTGAGACCTGACTTTATATGAAACGTATGGCAGCACCAGGCCAGCAAAAGGGACTGGACTTTGAATGGGGATGGGCCTTTATTTGAAGTTTTACGGTATCTTGATATGTATTAGCAAAATAGCTTAATTCTCGTCCGTAGTCCTGAATCAGGTTCTTAAAACAGTCAAACAAAGCTGTTCTCGTCTTACTTGCGTTCAAATTGTCCTGGTTGTGGCTTGAAGAAGGACAGGCCGTAGGAGGTTTCTTTGGTGCCATATGAGAACTGGAAGGTCATTTTCTCCGCCCGACCTAAAGCATTGGGTAACTTCAAGCCAAGTACCTGGAATTGTAGTGAGAAAGAGTGATTAAGGTTTCTACTCTGTCATAGAAGGATGATTAACTGATCAAAAAAAAACACATAAATTAAGTAAGTTTGGCTCAATATGTCCAAACACGAAGTAATAAAGAGGAGTTATATCAGATAACATTTGTAAAGATCTTCACAGAAACTGTTTGACCTGTGTGTTGGAGCCACATTTGCCAGTTTTAAAGTGTGAGACACAAATTGCTCCAGCAGGCATCCCCTTTGGGTTCAGATCATACACTTTAAAAAAGGTAGGAACTTTGGCGGTGAAGCCTAAACTGAAAGCCACCGTCTACATAGCCACCCTCAGTTGCTTTGAGTTTAGCCTTGGTCCCTATACTGTGTGTTCTGTCACTATTACTGGATCTAATGCTCACCATGCTTCCTTCATTGTTTCCAACCATGGTGTTGTAGCTGCCCGTCAGCCGCCTCAGCTCAGTGACTTCAAACGTCACGTCGAGGCCGTTAGGGAGAGCATCTTCACCTACAGAGAGGAGAGAACACAGAAGGTAGGAATTTTAAAAATGAGAATATTTTTCAAAGATGACAATGTTTTTTTATTCAACACTACGCAGTGATTGACAGTACCTCTTGAAGTGTCGATCACAACTTCAACTTTTCTGAAGATGCCGAGACGCAGAAGCTTCTGTCGAGCTTCATGCGATTTTTTCATCACCTGCAGAACAAATCAAAGCATGAGCTGATTTTTTGCACAAAAAAAAAAAAAAAGCATTAACAAAACGAGCATTAATCAGCGCAGCAGTGTTAACATGAACATACGTCAACCAAATTCTTGGCCCGGAAAACCCCTGCGATTTCATAAGACAACAGGTCCTCTTTGGTTCGACCGAGCCCATCTATGTGCACCCGTTGAACTACAACCTGAAATACAGCAGAGACATACAGGGATTATTTAAACGGGCCGCCAACAACAACAACAACAACAAGCTGTGCATTGAGTTCTGGCTGTGTTTTAGATTTAAGTCTTACATCCTTGTTTTCGAGAACTTCTTGCTTCGGCTCCTGCTCAATCTCTGGAGCGTCGATGTCGTCAGCTTGAAGTCCCAGCTCTGGCCCCCGCATGGGCAGCGGGTCCAGGCTCTGCGGCACACAACATGAGAAAACACAAAAGTTATAATCACATCTGTTTAATAAGGAACACACGATCAATGTATATAATTTAGGTCAATTTCTTAATGGAATTCCTTGTGACATAATGTGAGGTTTGTATAGTGTAACAACAACACACATATTGTACATTCTAGGTGTTATAATGCTAAAACTAGTCATATTCTATTACCTTTCTCCACAACAATTAAAGCCTGTAGAAGCAGACCAACAATTTCCTGAATTTTCTATGGAAAAATGTCAAAGCTTTTTGATGCCTAATGTTTTAATTAGATTGTTCGTTGTCAGTGTGGACTTTATATTTACGATAATAAAAAGACTTGACTTCATGAAGGCAGTTTCAGTTTGCTCAACTTAAGGGCTTAGATGAAGCAAAGAATTCATCAGAACAAGCTTTGAGGAAGTATAAAACCATCACAAGGCTGCTGTGTGTAACGTGCAGTCAATGTCCACAGTGTGCAGCCTGCAGAAAGATAACAAAGTGCAGGGGGAAGACCAGCGTCCCATTACAGAGATCCTGAATCTAAGAATGCACATCAGACATTGTTGTTTACTCTGCATTGTGAAGTAGGAACTTCAAAGCCATCCACTGAATGAAAATGACTCAATTAAGCTTCTTGCTACATAGCTGAATGGCTGAATCTTGTTGAATGTGCAGTGTGGGCCTTTTCTTTCCCAGCACTGTAGCTGCTCTGTCACATTTCTTCACTGACCACACAGAGAGGTCAAAGTCTGCGTCAACGCGGTTCACCGGACTTTCTCTTACCCGGGCGTGGACGGTGCCCATGCTGAGCTCCGCAGGGCGCTGTCCCGGTAAAGACGGACGAAACTTCTGCGTGGAAATAGAGAAACTAATTTAACCTACAAGTCACCGGAGAAAGGCGACGAGGCTCCGTATAAGGAGGCGGCCATGCATGTCACTTCCGGACCACGCCCACTGCTGCTGCGCATTCAACACATCAACGCTGCAGAATAGGAAAGAAATGTTTGAATTGTTTTTTTTTAACCTTTATTTAAACATTACATTTACAATTTTCTCCAACACAGAAACAAGTAAGTTCAGGCAAGGTCGCCCATAAGGAGGGGAAAATGGAAAAGGGAAAGACCTTCTGGGGCCAAGCCGTCGCCCATCCTAAATCAAAAACATTTTTATAACGAAAGTCTCACCATTAATAATCCCAACATCCAAAGACACAACCACTTTATCACTTTTTAACTTCAGTGTTGATGGACTCAACATTCAACAATAAGCCCATACTTTCTGTAATAGGGATGAGGACGTTGTGGTAGGAACAGAATACAACAGGTGCTTTTGGCTTTAATGAAGTTTCTCACACAATAAACTTCAGCTCTCTGTACACATGTAGGACTTTTGGTGTGACTTTTCATGTGTTTTTGAGGTTAAAAAAAAAATTCACACCCAGCCTCGGACATGGTGTTATTTTCTTTAAAGCATGGCAACATGTTAACATCAACAGTTTAATAAAAATAACCAAATGAAAAGTGCTTATTTTAACAAAACAGATAAATAATAAGCACAATTCCACTAAAAACATTCAATTAAATAACATATGAGCTGAAGAACACATCAAACATGGCTTCATATATATGTAGCTGAGCATCTCTGCAGGCCTTGAATCCTGAAACAACAACAAAAATGACATCAGCAAGTTTGAAATACTGCAAATTCTGATGCAGTTTGGATTGAGCTGCTCTTACGCTTCTGTTTTGAAGGTCTCCTGTGATATTCTGTCTTCATTTGCACCTTCAGGACATTCATTAATGTCTTTGATTCCCAGTGTGGTCAGAGCTGCGGGGAAAAAGGCTCAGTGAGTAATTGTTGCTGTCAACAGTCTCACTATTCTGGAAAAAAAACACTCTTGTTGTATGAAGTAATAATCTGGCAATCGCAAAGAACATACAGGTGAAGACTTTTCTACAATTAAATGTGAATCATGACTGAAACTCCGAATACAGAAAGAAAGAATAAGGGGCGCCGGATGGACTAGCGGTCATACTGCACCACCATGAATTGAGGTTCAGTTTCCTTTCATCCTCTAAGAATTAAAATAGTGTTTTTAATTATATTGAGAATGTGCTCAGTATCTGTCTGACTGTCCAAAAGAGCAAACAGTGTCCATGTTTTGTGCTCACCCTGCTTGTACTGGGCTAAAGTGATGTATTTCCGTCCAACTGGATCCAGGATCCCAAAAATTGCATTCAGGTTGGCGTTGTTGAACAGATTTGGCCCCTTCACACCGCTCTGCTGAGAAAGCTTCAGCTGTTTCAGCTGCTCCACCAGGAACTCTCTGGGGTTTTCTGAAAGACAGAATCAAAAATGAACAACTATTACATTTAACATAATGTGTTTCTGGTTGTAAGTGCTGTATCAGTGAACCCAAGAGAAAATCTGAAGCAACCGAATGGATATGTTTCTTTATCCGCTAACTTTGTCCATATGTTATTGTTCAGCACTTTGGTCGACTCTGGTTGTTGTTAAATGTGCTCTGTAAATTAATTTGATTTGATCTGATTATTAAGATTCAGGAAAACAATACAAACAACAAAAACAAAAGCTTGTAGAAACATAAATATATTGTACATTTTATCAATACCACACTGGGGGAAACCAGAATGCATTTTATGGATATAGCCTATAACTGACTATGTTTAAGATAGGATACATATCCTAATATTTACAAAAACAATTCTCATATGAAAATACCTTCACACACAACAATTACTGAACCATTTCTTCTTCTTCTCTTTAACGTTTGTGAACTGGCAAGTTTACGAGATACTGCAAATACTTGTTTATTTTTTAGCTCTATATTGAGGATGTTACGTTTTTTATGAATGAAAAAGTTTCCAACCAGGTCTGTGAAAGAAGAGCATGCTAGTCAGGTTGTCCATGAGCTCCGTAATTTTGTGTTTGTGGAGATAATCCGCGGCGTCTTTCTCTCGCTGCGTCGCCATCTTTTCTACGTCACTTTTTGTTTGAACTTGTTGCTATGATACGTAAACGGCCAACACGCACGCGCACGTATAATACCTGTGAGGACACTTTTAAAAAACCTGCACAAAGATACAGTTTGACGAATTTAAAATCAAGATAATTCAGCGATAATCACCTCTTTAATTCAGATGATTATTTTCTCATGTGAATGTAAAATATTTCTTCTTCGTTTTTAAATAAATGCTGATTAATTTCTGGCTAGTAGGGATGCAACTAATTATGTCATTATAGGTGTCATTTTCCTTAGGTTTATTTTGGGGATTTGTTTGCCTTTATTTAGCGATAGGACAGTGGATAGTCTCTCTAGATTTGAACCCGGGCCGAGCATGTACCTCTGTACATGGGGCACACGCACCCCATTATAGGTTTAAATTTAAAATACTTTCACAACTTACTGATGAATGAATGTAAGAAAGATGTGCAACCAAAAAGGGTGGTTTGAAGTTGTATTTAATTATTATACATTAAAGAAAAACATATATAATCTTTAGAGAGCGACCTGGAAACTAAACACAATTTTTTCTTAAAACTTTGATGCCAAATAATATATTCTGTGAGGGGAAAAATGATCAACCGGTACACTTTTTACTGAAATACAGTTACTGAATGACATCAGCAGTTACCATGTGCTGTTAAGGCTTACTTTAAGTCTTCTACATATTTTATCACTTGGTTTAAAAACTGCAAAGACTTAAAAAAGGAGGAAGATGTTCCAGATCTGGTTCCAGGCGTAATCCAAAGCATCAAGACGCCAAAGATTCAGCTATTCATTCCACGCCTTTTGTTTGATGAGAAGAAATCACTCAACACTTGAATACATTTTTTGCAGATGTCCCAGGTATGTCTTTACTCTCAGACACGTGGCAGCGTCTTTGTGTTAGCAAATTCTGGATATAGTCCATCCAAGTGTCCATCACCATGAGGGCGAATAAGTCCACATCAGTCCACTTTTTCTTCTGCTTTAAGCTGTTCTAACATCGCGGTAGCTTCTTCTCTGGCTTTGTAGCCCCGCAGTTCTGTCCGAAGCTCTCCTGGTTTTGGCGGTACCTCTGGAATAGTCTGAAACATTCAAAACACCTTTCAGCAACCTATAACATCGACGTCAACATGTCATCTGAAGGAAACAGAGGTCACAGCAAAAACATATTCTCTCACCAAATCAGGCAGGTAATACTGGTGGACGGCCTGTGCTCCTGCAAACATGGCCAGTACACTGGCACCGAACATCCTCAGGTAGCGAGGCCAAGACACACCTGCTGGCATCTTCACAGAAGTCCTTGACCTTGAAGAACGGAGTTTGTGTAATTAGTTAACAAATCAATCCAGCTATATGTAAACATATATATATATATATATATATATATATATATATATATATATATAAATAAAACTTCTTTATATGAAGGGTCATATGAACACTATGATCAAACACACTCAGTACAAGACCCCCCTGTCTCGGAATATACAGCTATTATGAATATGCAATACCAGTTTTCATTTTAGTAATGTTAAATTAACAGTTATTAAGTATTAAGTATATCCTTACACATCAGATTAGTTGTATCATAATGTGTTAGCCCTGTTTAGACTGCTAGCAAGGGCTAAAAGTTTGAATAACATGAATGGGTTAAAGAGCAGCAGACGTTTACTGACATGAGGTGACGCGAGTAAGACCTTACCTTCTTTAATTTGTAGTCGGTTAAAGAAATGGTCGTGAAGAACAGCTCATTTTCAGCATTTTAAACCCATCTGTCTGTCATTGGGACCCACAAGCAGGTCATGCTGTTTGCTAATGCGGAGATCGTTTAGAATGGTAAGAGCACTCACTCTGTCCGTATTCAACGATAAATAGCTCTAGGCAAAGTGTGTTTCCCGTCGTCTGTTTATGCATTTGTTGTCTTCTTTTTGGCTGTTATCATTATAATCGTATGTATTCAGGTGGATTGTAATTGTTTTTATGCTTGAATTTAAGAATAACGCGTATTTTTTTATTCTTAATGACTTAGGCTGGCTGCAGGCATCTTACGTTAGCATTTGTAAATGAAGCTATCCAGCCACACAGTATTTGTAACATGTTATCAGCTCTATTGTTCCCTCGAAAGGCTGGTTTCATAGACTGTGTATAATTGTATATTATTTACAGCCTATAACTGGTGAACCGGAAGACTCTGGGACAATGATTCTCTCAGTATTCGCAATTTTTAGCCTTCTGCAGGCCACGTTTTTAATATGGAGTATTGCGCTTAATAAATATAATGTCTTTGTTTGCTACGTTCTTCTACTGCGTAAATTTGGGTTCATGCTCTCATACAGGAGCTGTCGCCACCTGGCGGTAACGTACATAAATTCATAAAGCGTGTTTTATATTATTTTAAATAAAAAAATAAAGCCGCTCAGGTTGATACTAATAGATTGTTGGTATTTATAGTGTAGATTGAGCATCCTGAATGATCGTTTAACGTCCGAAGTATGCAATATCACTCCCAACCAGGAGGGGCAGTAAGTCTCCATTGAAGCGTAGAAACACGAAATATTGAGCGTTTAAATGGTCTTTGTTTTGGGAGGATTCCGAGCCCTCCGTCTTCGTAATTGAAAACTAAAGAACAAAATGTATGACAGGTATGTTAGTTTCCTCGTATACCTTTTTGTTTCGTAGATGTAGAAGCCCCTTTCGATTTAAATACAGCTCTAGGTCTTCTTAATGTTGTTAGCTTACTGTCAGCTGGAGCTTCTACCTTCATGTAGCGGCGTTCATCCGTCTTCTTTGTGCCAACAATGTACCGTATGTGCTGCAACAACCAACACACAACTGGTATCCTTCATTTGTATTAATGCATTTGGCAACAGCATGAATGATCGTGTATTTAAATAAGTCAACAGTTGAGATGGAAGAAAACCAGTATACTTCATTGACGGCTCCTACGGATTATTTCCAGCAGTGGTGAGTTGGTGCTGGAGGTTTGCAGGTCATAAGAAACTTCTTATGTTATCTCCTTGACGTCCTCATTTTCATGCATGACATGGAGAAAATAGAAAAAAAAAAGCATTTTACACATCACTCATATCTGTTTATAAATATAGGGATAGAATACGTGATAGTGCAACTTCAATAATTGAGGATAATAAGGTGTTAAAATGTGATTAAAATACTGCAGGACTGATGGCTTGTATTAGAAATACTCTAATTAAAAATGTAGATGAGTAAACATATTTTTAAAGGTGCATAATATGTAGTTTTGGTAGAGAAATGTGAAAGTTGGAGAAGTGTACAGATTCTGTTGTATATGTTTATAAGTCTATACACAAACTGTCCTCAGAGGAAAATGTGCTCCCTGTAACACAGTTTGAAGATAAAATGCTACACCAGATGTTATGGTGGGGGTCTGCAACAGTGAAATCCTAACTCTCTTGGTAGCTTTTAAGCTCCAAACAGTGTTCTAGTGAACCATTGTTTCCTTTGAGTAAAGTTTAGGTGTTTAGTTCAGAAAATATAGCATAGAATTGTTTCATTTCTCTAACTTTTCAATTTTCACGACCACATCTACATAGTGCACCTTTAATAACACACTGTTATTACAATTACAACGAGGATGCATGTTGTTACACATTTGAAAGAATACTTCTTACGAACAGAGTCAGAATCGATTTTTAATGCCAAGTACATTCACACATTCGAGGAGGAATTTGACTTGGTGTTTTGGTGCAAAACAATTAGTAAACAATAGAGCAAAAATAGTGAAAAAAAAGCTATAAAACAGCAGTGCTCCTGCTGTCAGAGAAGTTGAAGACAATATGACAAAAATCTAAAAATGTATATGATAGAATATAAAGAACAAAAAAAAAAAAGGTGCAATGTAGGAGTTGTACAGTTGTGCATGATTTACAATGCAAATGACTTCCAGGATAAATTTCCACACATATATGTGCAATATAAATCGAAAATACTGAAGTCCAGTGTGCGTTAATGTAACGCATAGAATCTGTCTTCGTCATCACATAATCGTAAAATAGATTAAGATGATGACGTGTTCCACTATAAAGCAGTTACTACATCATGACTTGATTCACGGGTCATACAACGCCTGCATAGACACTCTGCCTATCTGTAGATTACATCTATTGAAGGTGCTCTTCACTTGTAGTTGGCTTCATGTCCATCGCAGTCACAGTGTTTTTGCAAATCCTTTTTTTAGTGTTTGTATATCTTCATTCCATTCTTGTTTGCTTTGCCTGATGTTGCGACAAACCTGGACTTAGAATAATCTATTTATGTGTTCAAAGAGAGGGAGAGATCTCAGTTTTCATTCTAATCGGGTGTAATAAACAGAGCGAAACAATCAGAGAGCGTAACTTCTCATGCAGTGGATGAAATGCAAAGAATACAAACGTGTTTGTCAGCGCATGTATGTCTGTAAGTATTGTGCTTTGTAAGTTTGCTTCACCCACTTCTCTACGCACCCCATTGAATGCCAGCATACTCTTTCTTTTCCCGCTGTGTCCGGCTCCTCTTTCATTTTTTTGAGCACCTTCCTTTCCACGCCTCTCTTTTAAATTCTCCTTCCTCCCCCGTGCATCTCTTTTTTTTTCCTCCCAGGTACCAGTCCAGCCAGCAGCACCCTGAGGCCCAGTATGGGATGCCCTATCACAACATGGGCTATTACACAGAAGGTCCCAACGATGAGCTTGTCATGGCCGAGCTGTCTGTCCACCGAGAGCCGCAGATTATCTCTCACCAGGAACCTGTTTATCAGAACTGCCACCCCCCGGCCTCAAATCACTACCAGGAGTCAGCCTACCAGCAGAATGTCAGGGACCAGCAGCACCAGCAGCAGCAGCAGTATCCTTCACAGCAGCATCCTGCACAGCTTCAACACCCTCAGCATCAACAAACAGCCCAGCAGCAGGCACCAAATGTTCAGCACCAACCTCAGCCTGCTGCTCCCTCTCAAGGTATGGGAGAGAGTATCGTCAAACTTGTTGTGTTTACTACTACATCTTGTTCAGGTTTGGTTTTAATGTCAGAAGTCACTGGTAAAGTCATATGCATTTATGCGGAGATGTCAGAGTGAAGGGGCTTCACACAGGGACCGCTCCTGAGCTGTTTGGGGTTAGGTGCCTCGCTCAAAGGCCCCTAGACAGTACTCGGCTTTCTCACCAGCAACCAGACCAATTTACATACTTTGGACCATATAGCGTCCGTCCAGTACCGACAGACTGAACTACTGCCGGGTTCTGTTTCAGCAGAACAGACACACATGGCTACAGAACATTGGTGTTCATTTTCTTTAATTCTTCACACACACACACACTATGAAACAACATAAACAATCCTTTATCACTTGCCCGGTGATTTCAGAAATCATTCAGTTCCCCTTTTTCCATAAGTTTGACACAAAATGCTGCTCCAGCGAGGAGTACAGCCTACTGCTCAGGCTCGGTGTGTGTGTCTCTTCTGTCCAGCTCCAGCGTGCTACTGCAGAGATTGAAAAAGGAGAGCAATCAGCCAACTGATATCACCTGTGCCAGTTAACGCTGGCACTGCTCCCCTAAGCCACTCTCACACGTCTCTCTCCTACAGATGAGCTTTACCAACACCCCACTACCACAGACACACAGCTAAAGACTGGCTTTATCGTGAGGTATAGGAAGAAAAAAAAACGATTTCACATGCAAGAATCCCACAGTCACATCCTCATGCCAACATTTGACCAACCAGAATAGAGCTCTTAAAACATGGACTATCGTACACACCTTTGTAGTCCTAGCTACTCACAGATTAGTTAATGTTGATTTTGGGGCTACTTCAGGGTCATCTAGCACGATGACTAAATAAGGAGAGAAGAGTGCAGGAATAAAACATGTGTAAGGGAGACCTTTTTTGAGAAACACTACTTTTGCTATTTGGACACATTTTGGGATTCAGAGGAGACAACATGCAGAAAGAAATGAGCTCTGTAATGTACAGTACAGCAGCTGATGTGGTCATTTCAATCTTCATTTATTGCACTTTCTATTGTCATCACAATATGGAATCATCTTTTTGCACGTTGCACATTTTCCTTTTATTGTAAAGGCCTAACTGTTCACCTCTCGTTCCATAGCTACATCTTTGTCTGTGAAATCTTTCTCTAATTACCCAACTAGACCCTGGTTCAACAGGATTTTTTGTCTCTTTATCAGAGATTGTCACACCTCAACATGTTCTGTCCTCTCTGTCCTAGTTGTGACGCCTGTGAAAAAGAAGAGAGGCCGGCCTCCGAAGCACCAGTCGGAGGACGGAAAAATCAAGGAGGAGGACGATGAGGTCGAAGCCGCCAAAAAAGCCAAGAGGGCCCTCAACCGCTTTAACGGCATGTCTGTGGCTGAGGTTATGGCCAAGACGCTGCCGGACGTCATTACCTACAATCTGGACATTCTGATAGTGAGTCATTAATAATTTGTATATTCAAATATTTGAATAATTGGAAGTGGAAGTTTCTGGGTTTTTTTTTTTTTGTGCCAGTTCTACAATAAAAACGTAAAAAGATTAACACACAGTCAGTCTTTGTGTCAATGTTGTGTGGTTTCAGACCCACACAAAGAAATGTCTGTTGCCATGGTAACACCTTCATGTTTCTCCTCAGATCGGAATTAACCCAGGACTATTGTCAGCCTACAAAGGACACCATTACCCAAACCCAGGAAACCATTTCTGTACGTGGAAATTCAATTTCATCACTGCACCAGCTTTCACTTGTAACTCACGCTACTCTGTTGGTGCCCTCTGTACCAACACTTGTTATTCTGATCAGAAATGTGGTAATAATAATGCATTAAACTGTTATAGCGCTTTTACAAATTCTCAAAGATGCTTAACAAAGAAAAACGACAAAACTAAACAGTGAAAACAAAAGAGGGAGAAATATGTAAAGGAAGGAGGATGAGAATAGAGTTTGTTAGAGGTTGTAGGTGACGTTGAAGAGGTGAGTTTTTAGGGATGTCTTGAAGGAAGTTAGTGAGGGGGGGGAGTGTGTAAGAAGACGATAGTGGAGTTTTGGATCGCCTATATTGTAGTTTGTTATGAAACCGTGCAAATATACTTAAGTTAAATGCCATATTAATGTATTGATGCAGCCATACAAATGATGTCTTGGGTTTGAAAAAATACCCTTCTGTTTATTAATGATGCATCTTTAATGTTTCACTGCAACAAGCAGACAACAGCATGCATGGCATGTGTGACACTGCGGGTCATTGGAGAGGTCAAAATATTCCAGCAACATTTGTAGTTTGAAGATAAACTGTATTAACCAATTAGGCCGACGCGTTTCTGCTTGTGGCCATCATCAGGGTCATCGAGAAACAGATTGCAAACATCATTTAAATAGGGTAGGTACGAAATTGAAAAAAAGGTTAAAAAAAAAAACTGGGTCAGTAAAAGGGGAATCTGTGAGGATGGGGAAAACGTTTCGAGGTATCATCATTTGAGGTCTTTCCCAGACATGTTTAAAATTGAGAGATTGTTAAAGTGAAGGTGGTCAATGATTTCACAAGCTCTTATATTTAGCTTGTTTCTGACAGTTTCTAAATAGAAGTGAGCAGATGGTTCCTTTCTCCTCTATAAGTATTTAATTATTTACTGATTTGTTATGTTTTATGCACCATTTACTGTTACGCCGTGGAGGCAGCCCAAAAACAAACAAAAAAAAAATGTACTGGTGCTGTCATTTCCTTTAACTTAACCTGAGTAGGTCCTGTGCAATAATTACATCATTTACTGCTTGCCACCTTTAGCTTTCTTGTCATGTTCACCATAAGGTAGCTAAATTATGCCTTAGAATAATCTCTGACATTGTCCGACAATATGTGGCTTCGCATGGACCAATTAAAATAGGCGAAATAATGTCGAAGAGGTCACAAAGGGGTGACGGGGGTGTGTTGAGCTCAAAGCGACAAACCATGTCTGATGTTCTTCCAATTTTGTTACATGAATCCTTTTATGTACACTTTTCCCTACTATGAGCAAAATCCAGACAAAATGATATCCCTCTGCATCCACATAGGAAAAATAGAACATCAAAATGTAATCCAAAATCATGCTAACACTTTGACAGGCATGTGCAGTCAGACGCTATATGAGCTCATTCACACACCTGCCTCTGATTACCTGGAGCTTTGGCTTCATGCACAGCAAGCCAAGGCTCCACCAGGTACTCAGTTTCTGAACTACACACCGTGTTACCTTGCGTCTCATTAAAGGTGTTAAACAAAGGCAAAAATTAAAAATCCCATTTTGGCTCCACCACCAATGCAGTCTTTACATTCAAGCCCAGTAACTGAAAAATGTCCTTCACATCAGTATTCAGGACTGGCTCTAGTAATCAGAGGTGTATTTGTGTTTCTGGGTAGCTTCTGGGCTATAAATAATTTAATCTCTTCGCCTCTTTCCAGGGAAATGTCTGTTTCTCTCTGGTTTCACTGACGTGCAGCTGAACTACATGCACGACCAGAACCTACCGGAGAACTACAGCATCGGCTTCACCAACATGGTGGAGAGGACCACACCTGGCAGCAAGGACCTCTCTAGGTGAAAACTAAAAAACACACCAATTAGTTTAATTTACAGACATGCAGTTTCAATTTAAAACTGTTTTTTTTACTTTAAAAGTGAGTAATTTTAGCAGAATTATTCAGAGTTAAAGGTCACATATTATACTCTTAACAAGTTTACAAAACAGACAAAACATGTGTGTGAAGTTTCTTGTTCTAAATCCACTCTGATACTGTATTTGATCATGTCTATAAACCCCTCTATTTCAGCCCTGCTCAGAACAGGCTGTTTCTGTATCTGTACCTTTAAATGTAAATGAGCAGTGTCTGACCACGCCCCCTCTCTGGAAGGTGCTTGGGTGTACTCGGGCTTTCTCGCTCCATGTCCTATTGTTTACGGTGAGAAGGCAGACTCAGAGGGCAGAACAAACACCTAGCTGTGGGAGTGTCACCCACCTGGGGGAGGGGTTACTGCCCTTTGTGATGTCATTAAGGGAAAATCTCCAAATGGCCTGTTTGAGCACACATTTTCTGAAAAGTGGAGCAGGACAAAAGACAGAGAGGATGGACTTTTCTCATCATTGGGGGGTTTGTTGACAGACTAGGGACACATATTAGAGTTAGACAAACAGAAGTGGTTTCTGCATAATATGTGACCTTTAAAGCAATAGGAAATTAAGATTTAGGTGCGCAAACTTCTTAAATCACCATAGTTTGATGTGTCCTTTGAGAAGCTCATGGATCATATGTTTCTGTTTTTCTGTCCTAGTAAGGAGATTCGCGAAGGAGGAAAACAATTACTGGAAAAGCTGCAGAAATACAAGCCATTAATAGCAGCATTTAATGGAAAAGGTAACAAAACAACAACTCATTAACCCCTTTACGTCATTCTTTAGATGTAGCTTTTTTACCTCGAAGCATTGGATTAGTTTAACAGTTTATTATTTTTTGTTTATCTTGTCAGGTATTTATGAAATCTTCTGCAAGGAAACATTCGGTGTGAAGGCAAAGAATCTTGAGTTTGGTCTGCAGCCCTACAAAATCCCAGAAACGGAGACAGTACGTTCACAACCGTCCTATATATCTTTAAAAATATGTTAAACAGCACATATAACAATCCTCATGGCATATTTTCCATCACCTAGGTGTGCTACTTGATGCCGTCTTCGAGTCCCCGTTGCGCACAGTTTCCTCGTGCACAGGATAAAGTCCATTTCTACATCAAGCTGAAGGAGCTGCGAGACCAAATGAAGGGCATCGCTCCGAGCATTGAGGTTAAAGAGACGCAGTACTCGTTCGATCTGCAGCTGGCAAAAGGTAAACAGAGCAGTTCATAAGTGAAATATCAGCTTACTCTGCAGTTTGTTTTGTGGCTTGCTTAGATATAAACATAAAACAGTCTTTTTTTTGTCTTTCTAATACAAACACCAGGAATGTTTAAGTCAATTTCATGATCGTATTTAGTTTTAACTGAAGATCTTACTGTTGTGTTCGTCCTGCAGAGGATGCCAAGAGGATGGCAATCAAAGAGGAGCAGGTGGATCCAGAGTATGAGAGCTGTGGTCGGCTGAACAACGATTCAAGTCAAAGCAGCAGCTCCATCAACTAGAAGAGTCGGAGGAGATGGGAAACAACAGGCCTGTCTGCTGAAAAGACAGGTAGGGCAGTTTCCATGTGGACATCTTTTAATCTCAATAGATGAAGATGAAATTTCACTACTTTTTATATTTCTAAACAAAACAAACAGCAGTTTCTAGGTGCATGATGTATAACAGTGGATAATGACCGCATTGGACGCTTTTAAGCAGATGTTAATTGACTTACAAATATCTGCTGTTTTACTCGTCATTTCAATGTATAGATGTGTCATATATTCTATAAATATGGCTGCCACTTGTTTGTAGGAAACTTTGTCACCTGTGCTGCTGCCTGTTTCGGCTCTTCAAAGAGATTTAAAATCGCAACAAGTTTTTCTCCTGGTTAAAAAAAGGTTAAATCAAAATAAAAAGAAGTACCCATTGCCCTGAATGAAACCTGTTTATTTGTTTCAACATGGTACCTTTAATTTTACACAGTTTGCAGTGAATTACATACAATATTTTGGTAGTCTCCTGACTACTCAAAGTGCTTTTACACCGCAGGTCACACCTACACATTCACACACTGATGGCAGACATTGCTATGTAAAGTGACCATCAGAAGTAACTAATCCCATTCACATACATTCATACGCCATGGACGAAGCAGCAGGAACAATTTTGGTTAAGTGTCTTGCCCAAGAAAACTCCGGACATGTAGCTGCAGGAGCTGGGAATCAAACCCCCGACCTTCCGGTTGAGAGACGACCAACTCTACCAACTGTGCCACAGTCGTCTTTTAAATGGCTAAATGACTAATCCATAGTCTTCCCTAGTAGCACAGTTCATCTTGATATTTTCTTATCTTGCAGATATGGATGTAGCGGATGCCATGACATAAAACCCCTGCAGCTGGACATGTTGGCTCCACAGATATCAGCTGTACTCGTAGCATGATGCATCAACGATGGTAGGCCCTCTGCTGACAACACAGAAAAAAAGAAGAGGAAATAAATAAGACATCACAATGTGACGCACAAGGGAGAAAGTCCCCACATCGGTTACATTTTCTAACTCTCAAACAGACTGTGCATGTTTTTGGTGTTATTTTCTATCACTATTTATTGCATTTTGTACTGTATGTGTGTCCAGTGACTTATTTTTGTATTTTTCAAAGAATAACATTTTATGATTTATCAGCTGTAAAAATGTAATTTTACTCTGGAATTTCTAATTTGTAATTACAGAGTCATTAAATCTCTTCTCAAACAGGATGTTGTTCTACTGTGTAAGTTTATTCATGTGGAGCTGTAATGGTCTGTACTTTTTTACACACAGAAAATGTAGTGATTAGTGTCTGGAGATTTTCAAAGCGCTATTACAAGTGAAGGAAAATCTGGTTATTTGATGTTTATCTCACTTCTAGACTAGTGGTCTTTAATACAGTGCTGCATAGTGTTACTAAGCGCATAGCTGCAGACTGAGGAAGAAGATTGGCCAGAACACTTGCTCAAATGCCACAAAAAGTTCTAATTCATCACAACGTTTCGACCAGAAACTACATCCCTGAAATATGTTGAAAGTCAAGTCAAGTATATTTCAAGATCAATAAAAAAATCACAGAGAAGATAAAAAAATACATATAAAAAGAAATAGAGAAATATAACATTAAGCAAAAATAAGACATTAAAATACAGAATATATAAATAACCGCATAGTGATGTTGTCTGCTCTGCGTGCCTTTCAATGTTGTAGAGCCCCGAAGTCCCTGACTTTCAAGTGTCACCTTCCCGACGGACACAGATTCACCTGCTGGTCTTGCCTAATTGAAATTAATTTAGGCTCACAGTTTGCTTTGTCTGTTTCGGGCACGGCCTTAAGGTGCCATGGAAACCCCACCCAGACGCGCTGTGAAATCCACCCGGAGTCATTACAGTCAAACATTATACCAGTTCATTATCCAGAATTGTGTTGGGTCTTGCAAAAACACTACTTCACATGATTGACGACTTTGAATTATAAGAATAAACCCATTACACCCCCTTCCCTTTATTAAACAATGTATATTAATTAAGATGAATTTTCTTTTTTTGTTGTTATAGTGTTATGTGCTCTGTTCTCTAAGAGCCTGATTCAACTGATACCATACAGTTTTGTACATTTTCTACTTAAAATCAAATAAAAAATAAAGTTGACTCATATTCACCTCTAAAACTGAAGCCATCAGTGCAGCAATTAGACTTACAGTAAGCACATAGAAGCGTAGTGGAAAAAAATAAATAATACACTATTGAAAACTGCTCCAAAATGTAAACATTTACCCTTTAAATAGTGCGGCCTCAACAGCCAATAGAAACCCAGGACTACAGAGTTTAAAAGTCGAATGGGTCGTACCAATGCAGAAAAATGGGGGCGCCCGTTGTTTCTTTTTTCGTTTTAAATGACGAACGTGTTTTGTTAACATCAAATACATACATGTTAACTCCAGTAAATATGTTAATACATTAATATATTTAAATATATACCGTTACATTTATTTTTAAATATTTTTAGTTAAATACGTGCTTCTTGTCTACACCTTACATTTGGTATCTTCCGGTGTCAAAGTTGACCGGCGGTGCTGTCATGTCTTTGTTGCCTCGGTAGCAGCTCCTATGTCGTGAATAGAGGAGCGGAATAGATGGGAAACAAATAGTTAACTGTACAGAAGATACTCATTTAAGCCGGTTCCACAACAGGTTCGAAAAAGTTTCTATATTCTTGTAAATTGTGTATAATTTATTTCAGCGAGGACTCTCGGTGGAAGCGAAATCATTCATCCATGCTAAGTTAGCTTAGCAACTAGCTGTGGGTTAGCATTAGCTGCACTTGTGGCACTGCTAAAGAACAGCTTTTAACGATCCCTATCATGTTACTGCCTGGACGACGAAACATCTCTAAATACTCTTGCTTTTACCTGCCAGCAGTGTATCGTAAACCTGTCCAAAAATGGCAAATTGATAGCTGTTTTATCCAGTCTAGCTAGTTAGTTAGCACACCGTGATAGAAGCAGGGAGAAACACAGCAGATGAGGATGTGCAGTAGTCGCATCATGTTTACTCTTAATTTCTGCTGGTGTGACGTTATTTCTTAAAAAGAGAGTTATGCATAGTAGTGTTCAAACCATGTATTAACTCTTTACCACCATGTAAGTTATCCTTTGTTGTTATTGTTCATGTTATTGTTTTTATTTTGTTGCTAACTCCACAGTTTGCCAACAATGCCCTGGCACATGCGTTCACTTTCATACACTGCCAGACTCCAAATATGCAACAACAACAAAAATCAAATAAAAATGACGTGTACATCCTGTAGCTATGTTTCCTCAACCTGCATATTAATTTATTTATAAAGTCAAACCACCCATAAGATGGAGGAAAAGCTGAATGGATCATTCCCTGTTGTCTCTCCGGAGTATCTTCATCAGTGGTGAGTCTTCGTCCTCACCACAATGTGGCCAAGGGGGGAGTGAGATTAGAGCAGAAAATCCCTGAATGGCAAAGTGTGATGACAATGAAATGAAAGCATGTGTGCCCAGTTTCCCTTTTTACACTTTTTTTTTTTAAATCATTGTGTTTGAAACACGTCATTTAGTTTGTGCAACGTGGGTGATGATTTCAATTGTGTATACTGTGATTTAATGCAGCAAGAAACAAAGAAAACAACCTTTTTGGTGCAATGTCTCCGACTCTGTCCCCTTAACATGGTGTGAGGCTTAACTATATTATTTGTTTCCTTTTTTGAATAATGTCTTTATTGATTTTGAACACAGCCAACATACAAGCTTTCACTCCTTACAACGTGCTTTATTAACCTGTATAAAGCACATAAATATAACAAGTATATCTTTTAATGGTGCTTCTAATACACTAAAAACAAAAGGAAAGACATATATATATGTTGTGCATATACACACACACACACACAATATGTATATAAATGTATAAATATATTTATTTTTTGACAGAAAATGAGAAGATTCACCGCACACAAGAAGCCTGAATTATTTATTTTTATTAAGTTACATTCTCAAACAAACAACATGATTTCGGCCACATGGCTTCATCACGTGTTTTGTAACAAACCTTATGAAGCCATGTTAGTTACAAGTTTAGCATTATTGTAAACATACATTATGTATACAGATTAAGGTATTTAGCGCTAATAAGTTCTGATGAAGAAACCCATAAATACATTTATTTAAACCTCAGCAGGAACTCATTAGTTGCATTAATTTATCAAACCAAATTGTTAATCCTCACTGTGTTTCATGTACAGATATTCAAACAATGAGACACATTGCTTTTATACAATACACTAGTCTAACTGTAGCACGTAAAGCTGCTATTTTTCTTGCTTTATGTGTTATCTTTTCACATTATTCCCTCACATCAGGGTTCAGTCTGCACAGCAGTTTCAAGCTCTCCAGAACCAATATTCAGGCTTCAACCCCAATCATCACTATCCTTACCCAGAGGGGGAGGCGGAGGAGGCAGCCGGGGCACACATGGCTAATCCAGAACCCATGATGGATCAGCAGGAGCTTGCCAACCTGGCTAAACGTATTACAATTCATATTCAATCAAATATATATTCACTGTTTATAGAGGTGCTTGTTTTGGGTCAGATCCCAGATTTCTTGTATAAATTGTTGACTTAGTTTGTCAACAACAGGTGTGCTGCACTTTATCCTTGAATTATAAGATCTGATAAATGTTGATGCTGTTAGCCTGAAGACTAGAAGGCACACTTTTGGGAAAAAAGGCTCTGAAATGTTTGAAATGTGTTGAAATAGTCTTGAGTCGTGTTGGGGGTTTTCATGAAAGTTTGAGCAATCTCTATAAGGCACTCAAACATTTAATCAATTGGGGTAATAAAAAGTCATAGTAAGTTAAAGATGGAGTCTGTGAACAGTAAACTAAGTAAAAGGGAGCAGTGAAGGATCAGGCATTTCTACTACACTGAAATCCACTCTCTAAACTTCTCTTGTAGCCCCGGCCAAAAAAAGAGGCAGACCAGCTCAACCCAAGGAACCCAAGGCACCCAAACCACCAAAAGTCCCCAAGGCACCTAAGCCACCTAAGCCACCTAAAGACCCAAATGCACCTAAAGCCAAACCAGGTCCTAAACCCAAGAAGGCCGCTGATGCTCAGACCGACGGGAAACAAGAGAAGATAGATGAGAGCTTCAAGAAAGTGAGGAGGAAAGTCGACCGCTTTAAGGGGATGTCAGAGGAGGAAGTCATGAAAAAGACTCTGCCTGACCTGCTAGATTACAACCTGGACTATGTCATTGTAAGGATCCTTGTTCAACTGTTTGCCATCAGGAGTTCATTTTAGTTTGTATGCTTCAAAAACATGCCCTTTTTTTTGACAGATTGGTATCAATCCAGGACTGATGGCAGCTTTCATAGGACGGTGGTTTCCAGGTCCTGGAAATCATTTCTGTAAGTTGTGTGACAAGAATGATTTTAATTTGTTTAAAGCTCTCCTGTGAGGAGTTTTTAACTGGTTAAAAAAAGGCTGAAATTCAAATTGATGAATATTTGTGACCTAAAAGGCAAACAGGACCAGCGTAAGATTGGTTACTTCAACATTTCAGTTTTTAATGATTTTGAATTTATATATTTGTTTGGACCTTTTTGCCTTTATTAGACCGGACAGCCGTAGAGAGACAGTAAATATTGGAAGGAAAGGGAGTTGTTGACGACATGCAGCAAAGGGCTGAGTTTGGATTTGAACCCACGGCTGCAGCAACAAGGACTGTAGCCTCTGCACGTGGGGCGTGCGACATAACCCCTAGGCTATCGGCGCCCCTATATTACAATTTAGAATGTGTGTAACTCCTGTCACGGGGCGTGTGTCAGACAAGATGATGTACAGCAGAAACAGCCTTTTTACTGTCCCTTTTTCTTCACATTTTCCACGGCCCAAAAAAACTTAATGGGAGTGATGCAATTGTGAAAAGAGAGACGTTTTTTGTTGGGGTCAGAAACTCTACCTAAGCATGTACTGGACATAAACATAAAAGAGATGTACAGCTTTGACCACAGGGAGCGCAAACATCAACACAAACCTAAAGATCCTGACAGGAGCGTTAATGTTAAAACTGTTTCCTGTGCTGGTCTGCAAGAGTTATCAGAGGACGGCAAATAGTTTGAGTCTCCAAAGGTTTTTAGAAATGTAGGGGTGTATGATCTTACTAGCATCAGATGGTTCGATTGAGGACCTTTTTTGTGAAGTTACAGACTCAAACTAGCCCCTTGAAGGAGTTTATTCAAGAATATCAGGCTTGTAAGTGAATCCTGGAAAAACTTTTAACAGGGTTCTGTGGATCCATTTGACAACACCTTGTGATGTGTTGGCCAATTTTTATGAGTTTTGAGGCACGCTGAAGCTGCCTTGACTTCAATTTACTTTGGACCAGAAAGAAAGAAGGATAAATAACGATTCTAAAAGTGTCCTCACACCACTTGATGCCCGGCTCCCAAAAAGCATTTCTACCCTTCAATCATCCCGTGTGATAAATTTAGATTAAGACACATGTTGGGACACCTTTAACTTAGAACAGTACTTCTTCTTGGGGTTCAAATGGCCCAGTGGTTAGGTCCCCCTCCCATGTACTAAGGCTATAGACCTCCAAGTGGGCAGCCCGGGTTTGAGTCCGGCCTGTGGCTCCTGTCCCGCATGTCAGTCACCTCTCTCTCTCCCTGGTTTCCTACTCTATCCACTGTCCTATCGTATAAAGGCAAAAAGATAAATAAATCATGCATTCATATCATTTATAAAATACTTGTTCTCTTGTTTCCAAAAGTGATGAATGACTGGGACACTTTTCATTTTTCAGGGAAGTGCCTGTTTCTGTCCGGATTTACGGAGGAGCAGCTAAACCACATGCATGACACCACCTTGCCCGTCAAGTACAAAATGGGCTTCACCAACATGGTTGAAAGGGCGACACCAGGAAGTAAAGACCTCTCAACGTAGGCCACTGAAACAAAAAACCCCTCATATTTAAATGTATCTGTGTCATTTCTCGTTTACGGTTTGATTTAATGACTAATCGTTAGCGGAGTTTCCACACATGCACAAAACTCCTGAACATTTCAAAAGCTTTCGAGTAAGCTGTACGAACCCAAACAACCAAATGTTTCACCCAGGCTTTACCTGGACCTTTTCCTGCAAGCTGGTCAAATTTACATGTGAAGTCCGGTGGAGCTGATGCCCACGTTCAGAGTCCCCACGTGTGCCAAGTCTGATCTGATTGGTCGGCCTGTCGGCTCTGCCGTAATTGGTCAGTCGCTCAGCACGGTTCTCGGAAATGTCACGCCCCTTTTACCATATTGGGAATGCAGCCACTTTGGCTCCGAAGGGAGCAAAAACATTAGCACCTTAGCACTACTGTGCTACCGCAGGCTACGGCATATCGTGGGCGTGCAACATGAGCTGCAGGGCTTGCCACATCGAGCCAATGGGCTTAGATCAGTGATATCACACTAACGAGACGTCACACTGGCAATTTTTTTTCGAGAGGGGCTAGAACCGAGCGTTACGTGCAGCTAATGCTACAGCTAACAGGAGGAGGTAGGAGAAAACGCGTTTCCGCGGACACTAAAGAGCATATAAAACCAGAAAAAGCAAAATATGACCCCTTTAAAGTCATGTCTCAATGCCTCCTTAGATCCCCTCCCCTTCACCCCCAAATCCAACAGAAAAACTTCCCCCTTTGAGGGACATTTGTGATTAAATCACAGATCTTCAGGAGTGCATGTGTGAAAACAGCTCATGTTTGATGTCCCTGGAGCCAGAGAAGTTTTCTGGATGAGCTTACAGGAACCATGACAGATTTCTATTAGCTTGAAATTGTGGGAATTGATTTTTTTTAACACTGTAAAGTGACAGTGTTCCTTTGTTTTTCATCCAAACAGTAAGGAGTTTCGTGAAGGAGGCAAAATCCTCACAGAGAAACTAAAGAAATTCAAGCCTCTCATTGCTGTCTTCAATGGAAAATGTAAGCGCTCTTCCAATACTTTACATCACATTTACACAAAATGATTCCTCAAATTCAATTGAAGTCATGTTGTTTTTCTGTTTTCTCTCTCCTCCACAAGGCATCTATGAAATGTTCTGCAGAGAGCTGTTTGGTAAGAAACCAACAAAGCTTGAATTTGGTCTGCAGCCGCACAAGATCCCCGACTGTGATGTGGTAAGAATCATCTTTATGGACTAAATATTAACGCCTCAGTTTCCAGATCGGCCTCTGAAAATTAATTGATTTTCTACATTTGTGGCCGAGTAGTCTTATCTGATCGGATAATTTAATGGATCACAAAGTTATTTTATATCAGACGTAATCAGTTTCAGCTCTGACTAAAGGCTGTTGTGCATTCATATCAATTCTGTTGGCATCAAAAATATTTGTAAATTAAAAACAAACAAGTGAAAATCATAACTGCTGGAACCTTGAATCACACCACAGCCATCCTCTCAGCTGTAGATATTTCCTGTGAAGAGTTAATGTGGTCAGGCTAGAGTCAGATGTAGACTCTCTCTCTTCCCACAATTCCCTGTTTTCCTCCCTCTCTTCAGCTGTCTTAGATATAATTCTCACGTTCATTTCTCTGTCTCCTCCACAGGCGCTGTACCTGATGCCCTCCTCCAGCGCTCGGTGTGCTCAGTTCCCTCGTGCTCAGGACAAAGTCCACTTCTACATCAAACTGAGGGAGCTCAGAGATAAGCTGAAGGGCGAGCAAAGAAGTGCAGAGATCCAGGAGGTCGAGTACTCGTTCAACCTGCAGCTGGCTAAAGGTAAGGGATAATTCACCCGTTGAAACATGAATCTGTATTGACGTTCGGTCATATATGTAGTAGAAATGTGAAATAAATTTTGAAGTTGGTGCCTTCTTGGCCCGAGAAAAGGCAGAAAGTGTCTTTTTGGCTCGTGGATGAAAAACACCAAATCCCAGAATGCACAGCACCGCAGCTCACTCCCACTAAGGTCCTTGATTTCAGAATCAGAATCAGAAATACTTTATTAATCCCAGAGGGAAATTCGATCGTTACAGTTTCTCCAAAATATAGCAGTAGAAATAAAGTAATATAAAGATTTACAGACATATTTACTTCAACACATGAGGCCGTTTCCTTAACTGAGTCCGAGATTTCTTCCAGAATTGATCTTGGAAATTCCTGGCAGAAAACAGACTCTATGTCTGTGTTCATAGGCAAACAGTGAGAGCTGCGACACTACCAGTCTGCCCCAGCTCAAGCCGGCCCGGGCTCCTCGTCAGCAATATAGCAATATAGCCGCGAGACGGTTGCTGCCGACAGGCTGATCTTGTGTTGCAGCGGCCCCGGCAGCCGGCAAAACAAGACCGGCCTGTTGCCGCTATATTTATATTTTTTCGCCATTATCAGCTTTCTCCATAGAGCCTGTTAGCACAGCTTCCAAGCAATATGGCGGACGTTAAGTTTCGATTCTGGGAGTGAGTTCCCACCCACTGATCTGTGATTGGTCTGTAGCTTCAGTGGTTGAAAATATGAGGAACTAGCGTTGTAGTTTCACACCGCTAACCGCAACAGCTTCCAGTGATGCAATATGACGATATTTGCGTCACTGGAAGCTCCTTTTCAGACTTAGAAATACAGAACTTTCCAGTCTCAGGGGGAAATGAGGGCGGGATGCACGACCTTTCAAAAATACTACCAGTTTACTAATGATACAATGCTTAATGCAAATGGTTGAAGTATCCCTTTAAGAGTGGTATGATCAATGATCCATATTCTGTGTTTCAGCCGATATTAGAATAATGCCCGTAGACTACTCTCTGTGTCCTGGTCGGCTAATGTTTAACACTTACTTATTGTATTTCCATCAACAGAGGACGCCAAGAGGATGGCGATAAAGGAGGAGACGTATGATCCCGGTTATGAAGACGCCTACGGGGGAGCGTATGCAGAGAAAGGTGCTGAAGGGGCACCAGCTCCAGGACAGACCAACGGGCACTGTACATTCTCATCTGGAGAAAACAGAGGTAACATGCTCGGAATGTAATCAACTCTTCACATTTTATTAACTCTTTCAGGTTGTTTTAATTATCAAAGTGCGGCATGGAGCTGTATGTCTGAACATTTTACTTATCTGTTTAGATAGGTAACAAGTTATTTTTCAGCCTTGAGTGGAATTATCATTGTGTTTAAATTAACTTGTGTAATGAGGTTAAAGCCCGCTCTGTGCTGTTTACTGATTTCCCAAATATCACGTCTATAAAGCCCTGAAATCATGTCTGGTAGAGGATTCAAAACTGATATCCCCAGCTTGATGTCTTTAGGAGAAGCCTTGGACCAGCTCCACAACTTTATCAGACAGATTTAAAAGGCCGTCGAGATTCTTTTGTTGTGTAAAGATGCCTTTTGGGGGCGCTGGTTTAGCTCATATTTCCTGTCTCTTTCAAGCTGTCCTATCTGATAAAGGCATAAAAAGTCCCAGAAATAATCTTAAAAAACATAGATGCCATTTTTATTTCAAGTCTTTTCTGTTTATTCTGTGCACTCAATCAATCAATCTTTAATTGTATAGCGCCAATTCATAACAAATGTTACCTCGAGACACTTAAAAAAAGCCAGTAAGAGACCTTACTCTTGGGGTGCCGGTAGTGTAACAGTTAGTGCAAACGCACCGTGTACAGAGGCCATATTCTCGGGTTCGAATCCCACCTGTGGCTCCTTTCCTACTTGTAATTCCCCACTCTCTCTCTGTCCCTGATTTTCAACTCTCTGTCTCGGCAATAAAGGCACAAAAATCCAAAATAAATCTTTAAAAAAAAAAAATACCTTACTCTTTTTTATTTAATATTACAGAGCAGCAGGCCGTCCCCACCAACTGTCCCAGGAACCCTCTGTAGCCAATGTTAGCTGTGCAAACTATATCAAACTTCACAGTTTCATTCATAAAATGTTTTCCCTCTGAGACTTTTTCTACACCTTATCTTTAACAACTTAGTCAAACTGCCCATCTCCACACTTCTTGTTTCTGTTCAGATTTTTTTTCTCCCCCTCAATCTAAAAGGAATTTACAAGATATTAAACATTTGAAGAAAGGATGGATACTTAAATAAAAGTTCAGCAAGGCAGCCGACACTCAGAGGTTGATCACCCGTGTCCTCCTCAGCTCTACAATTTGCAATAATGTGTCAGCTAAATTCATCAGATTCAACATGAGAGCTCAGCTGTGCACAGGGCTTCATGAAATCTATTTGTTGTCTGTGTGCAGAAGGAGCACAGGAGGCGAGCACATCACAATTAGCAGAGGGTCAGCTCCCAGACGGACAGTGGATGACCCAGTCCTTTGCAGACCAGATCCCAGACATCAGCGGAGGACAAAAGGAGGCCGGTGTATGAGGAAGAAGACTGCGCTGACAAGCAGTGACCTGTCAGGTTTTAGGCTTTTTTCCTTTTTCGTTAGTGTAGACGGACTTCTTAGAGATTTTGCAGAATCTTCTTTCTGCACTTTTTATTTGTTTTATGGTCTCGTGAACATGTATGATCACCTTGACGGCAGTCTTTGTTAAAAAAAAAAATCAGGGACTTGACAATGACGATGCTGGACTGTCCTCGGAGGTCATGTATTTAAACCTTTGTACTGTAACATACTGCACTGTGATGCAGTAAGTGTAAACATTCATGCCTACTGCTGCGACAGTAGATACAACCACAGATGGTTATTTTAAACGCTCACACAGGTCCAAGTGAGCCTCGACGATCCTCTGTGTGAAGGGAGGGTTTAGCATTAATCCGTTGATATTTTCTTTTTATGGTGCTATGAACTGGCCACAATGCAACGACGTGATCACTGGATGAAAACCGGACTCATCATGCATGTCAAGAGAAATCTCTGGCAAACCTTTTTAAAATGTTACAAAACTCTTAACAGGTTTTATTTGACTTTTTATTTTATCACTCTAGGAAGTTTAGGATAATGTTTTGTATGTTTTAAAATGTCATTCTTAAGGAATTTTATGAAAATAATGTCCATTAAAATACCCTGATGATGTTTTTCTTATATTATTTGGATGACCTTTCAGTCTTTCTGGCTCTGATAATATAGTAGTGTGGTATCGAGGTAAACAAAACAATGTTATGAGGAAAACTGAGGTGCTGTATGTTGTAAAAAAGAAAACAAAAAATGCAAACAAAGTGGAGCCTAAGGTCCCGTGTCCACCTAGCGCTGTTTTCTGGCTGAGCGCTTACATGAAGGGTTTGTGCGCTGAGAAGAAAAGCACTGCACGTGCGTCCTGTCTCCATGACAAGGACGCTGTTGACAACACTTGTGTATGATCTACACGGCTCAGTTACTTTTTACTGCATGTTTTATATTTGAGATCGTTTTCACCCCAGCAGGCACGGAGCGAGGAGGATGTGGGTACAAGACACGATCTGTAGGCGGCCAAACTACTGGGATTATCATACATTTGGAAAAGAGCGCTCGTAGTGGCCGCAAAAAAATAGGTGGATCGCTTGGAAAAAGATGCTAGGGGCTGCTGCTGCAGACTCTCCACTCATTGGGAACAAGTGAACAAGACGCTGGCCCTCAGATAAAACGCTAGGTGGACACAGAGCCTAACAGCAGAAAAATAAAAGTTCTGCCTTTTATATAATAACAGGATGTCACAATAACACAATTAGCAAAAGGGTTTTCACAAAACCAGAATTTTAAACTTCAATGTGATACTAGTTAAACAACAGACGATATCCATTAGAGATGCACGGAATTGGAAAATAAGGGCTGATACCAAGACCGGTGTTTGAAATAACAATTTTGCAGGTTCCCATAACGATGATTGTTTCATGACTTCTTCAGGCGCAACGTTCACTAGATGTCACAACAATTAACATCAGCTACTGTAATCGGTTCATGCCAAATGTCTGTCAACAGGGCCAATACCGATGCATCAGTGCATCCCTAGAATCCATATCTTTTTTTGAAACCACAGCAACAAAGAAGTAGTCTTGGTAAACCAACATTGGGCAATTACTTATTTTTGAATTACAAAAATTGCAAGAGAACTCTTACAATCTAAATGACAAATACATTGGCAACGTTTGGGTACACAAACATTGCCAATGTGTTTGTGTAATTTAGACAGTGCTCGTTCTCTCTCACACACACTCGACAGCTTTTGTTTAAAACTTCTAAATATCTGTGGTTATTCTCAAACTTCTGTACTTTTCATTGCTTTCGATCATTAGATTAGCAGGGATTGATACTTATTTTAAAATCACGTGTTTTGAACATTTTGACAAATGTAGTGAGCACCTTTGACCACTAGACTCCTCCAAATAAACATGCTTTACAACCTTACACACAATGCCAACATCAAATCTCATAAACACACCGGCTGATTTGAACATCACCTTTTATTTGACATTTATTCACATGTATTTTTTACTCACTCCTTTTGAAAGCATATTTAACAGGAATCAACAATCCAACTACTCCTACTGTTCAGCCATAAACCTGGGGAGTCAAGAGTTTTAGCTAACAGACATTTCTAAGAATCAAAATGATTTAAACACATTTAAATAAATCTTTCTGCTTGTTAACCTTAAAGGTCTAATGTAACAACCGGCTGCAGGTCAGCCCTGATTTTAGTGCTTTAAAACAATCCTGGTACCATCAACGTTGTGTGACGTTCGTCTAAATGTACTCCTATCGTTCCAGGAAAGTCTTAGTTAAAATACATTAGTACATGTAATACTACAGCGGTCCATTTTCATCCGCTTATCCGAGGTCGGGTCGTGGTGGCAGCAAGTGCAGTAAGTCAACCTAGACGTCCCTCTCCCCAGCAACCATTTCCAGCTCCTCCCAGAGGCGTTCCCAAGCTAGACGGGATATATAATCCCTCCAGTGAACTCTGGGTCTACCCTGGGGTCTGCTCTTAGTTCGGTGTGCCCAGAAAAACATCCAAAGGGAGGCATCCATGAAGCATCCTGATCCGATGCCCGAACCACCTCAACGGGCTCCTTTTAGATGCAAAGCAGTAGTGGCTCTACTAAATCTGTTAGCTCGATAGCAGAACTAGAAAAAATGCCCCCAAATCCTTTTTTCTCAAAGTCTTAATGAAACCGGTTTCAATTTGCACCAAACTCTGGACACAAATATTGCATGGAAAGGATGTTTTTTTTTTTTTTATATACGTATTGTATTTCCAAAGATGTCTTAAGAAATATTCTATGCACTGGGATCCGTTTCATTGAGGTCAACATGTTTTTTTTTTTTATTGTTTGTATCTGGAAACAAAGAGGATGAGTGTTTGGTCACATCGAGGTAAAACCGCCTTATTCATCTACATGGTCAACAAATGAATCAAATTACAAGGAAGTGTTCATGAATCATAAATAAAAACAAAGCTTCTCTGGTGCACAGTGAGATGTAGAGGGTTACTTCTGCAATACCGAAAGGACAAGTGCTCAGGTAAGACGACCTGATAACTGATAACATAACCTACCTCAGGGGTCTTAGCTGTTACCGCATCCAGCACCCAGGCTCCTTTTATGCGAGCTACCATCTCCCCTACCGCAGGACTCCTTCTGGATCTCTTAACTCAACCGTGTAGACTGACGGGCAGCAACAGCCAGGACGTCAACCGGGCTGTCAAGTTAGAACCTCCACACCTCAGGAAGGCCGGACAGTGAGCTCCGGCGTCCGAGACCCATTCTCCTCTCTACCCTTCCTCATGGCCATTACAGCCCAACCAGCAAAGCCACCTTCTATAGACCCAGAATCTGTACTTCCAGGCGGTGACCACGCTGATACTACCTAACCTACCACAGGGCCCCTACAATCAAAGCAGCTATATCTGGTGCCAAAAGTACACGTGAAAAAGAACGGCAAAGAGAACTCCAGAGAAAATAGACAGACAGAAAAAAAGAGATCTTCGAGGAGGACGGGGGAAGCTAAGCCAGGATGAGGTGCCCTGATCGGGGCTGTCAGCACTCAACCCCCTCTGGATCAGGCTGATGCTCTACCTCCCCCTACTCCCTCATGAAAATAAGGCGAAAAACAAAGATGATGGATGGTTTTTCCTTATATCAAGAAAGTGATAAATAATATATACCATACACAAAAACATTCACATTTTAAAGTCCTGATTCTCTGCTTGGTTATTGTTGTAGAAGAATCTGCTTACTTCTGCACTTTGAAGTGAGCTTGCCGTGTGCAGGTGTATTCAGTGTCATGAGGTTGGATGGACCTGCGCAGGTGTATATGAGAGAGAACTGGTCCAGGTTACCGTTGTCATCCCAATGCGGAGTTTTGTTGGAATGCCGGATGCTTTTTGACGTCGAAGGTTCGCTCTTGTTGTCGTTTATTGCTTGTGTCCTGAGTTCTGAGTCAGAGGAGCTGCTGGAGAAAACAAGAATGAAGACGCAAAAGACTCTGAAGCAGCAGAAAGCTGAGGAGGCAAAAACGTGATGTATGCAAAGAATAACCAATGAATGAATTTTTAGGTCCTCACCTTCTTCTGCTCCACGTCTGCCTGCGGAGATCTCCCATCACCGTCAGCAGTCTGCAAATCCCTACACCGCCTGATAATATCAAGCTGTCACAATTGAAGACAAATTAATTTCACAAGTGGCACTATAAAAAAAAAATCAAAGAGAGGCAGTTGATTGTTGCCTGTTTGTTGTCTCCCCCCTACCCCCTTCTCTGTGTGTTATCACACCATTTTACCTTTTGGTGAGTACGAAGAGGAGGTCAATGGGAAGCACCAGAAGGCTCAGCAGATACAGAACCACTCTCACTGGGAAGAACTGAGAGAGCAGAGACCCCTGAGAGCCGCCGTCATGACTGTCCCTGCACGCCTCACGCAGCACTGACACACGAAAACACAAAACTTAACTTACTAGTGTTGTACTACACAAAATCGCTCTTGGTCTCAAGACCACTTTTTGAAGGTCTCTCTCGTCTCAGTCTCAAAGGCATTTTTACCAAGTACTTACAAATTTGCATGCAAACTTCTGTAGTCTGTATTGCATGTTTACTATGGACCTGTCTTATGAAACAGAGTGCAAAATTTTAAAGTTCAGACAAAGGAAAATATGCTACATCGATCTGTGAAGAAAACTAGCAGCCTTTGCAAAAAAAAAAATCATAATAGTTGGTTTTAACATAAGTCCCACCTCTGACAGGGTAAATAGCCAGTTACAGTTTAGGATTTTTGGGTGGCACCACAGGTGGCCAATCAGATTTCTAGGGGGGCTCATGCCACCCCTCTGGACACGCCCCTGCTGGTTTGTACTGGGGCTTCAATCATCAACCCTTTGGTTCCTCAACCTACAAACTGAGCTACTGCAGCCCTCTGATGCTTCAAGTGTTTAATGCTATTAAAAGACTTCGTCTACCTTGAAAAATTTAACCTGCTGAAGCATGTCCCAGCCGTCATTCTTACCTTTCTTCAAGCTAACAGGTAGGTTCTCGACGACTCTCAGGTCCAGCCACTCGTGATCATCCTCTTGAAGGTTTGTTCCATTCATCACCGTCTTCTTTGACTCCACCAGCTCGCAACAAGCAGGTTTGACTCCCTCCATCTCTCTCACCAAACACGGCTGAGGGTGCCGTCTTCCAAGCAGATCTGTCACAAGTAGTTATTTAAAAGCATGTTTAGACAAATCTAAGATTCAAGGGGAGGATGAAGGTGGAGGAGCTTTACCTCTTCCTCTCAGGAAACAAAGAGCGTCCATGTAGCCGTTGTGGCAGATCTCAGCCAGCTTCTATCCAGAGAAGAAGAAGAAATTATGAAGGTGAAGGTATGTTTGATCTGCTCTCATTATCAGAGAGGACAGCAACAAAGGAACCGAGGAACGAAAAAAATGTATTCTCCACCTCTCCTAATAACGCAAGACACCTGGGGAGGGACTGACCTCAGGTCTGGAAGGTAGGAAGGAGGTGCAGACTCGGTGCACGTTGCCAGTGTTGACCTGGATGCTGACGTTGGCAATGCTGGACTCGACAAAGTTGAAAGTCCCCTCTTTGGGGCAGATGTCGCTCTCTCCTGAGAACGGAGCCATAGTGATGGTGTTTCTGTGCTCGAACAGCGGCATGTTGTTGCTCAGGGCTCCATCCATGTAGTACTGAGAAGATTCATTATCAATCATATGAAAGGGTAGGTTAAGAGGAATGTTCAATACTACAATATTAATCCATTTAAAAGCTGGATGCACGGGGCGCCGGTAGCCTGGTGCAGTGTTACTCAACTGGTGGGTCGGGACCCAAAAGTGGGTCGTGAGCCATGTTTTCAGTGTGTAGCAAATATGTCCCAGAAAAAAAAAATAGTCTGTCAAAAAGTTGATGTAGAGCTTTTTAAGAACATGCTCCAATCTAATTGGTTGAAAAATATCAGAAATGTTGGTTTCCATTTTTCATTAAGGAGTTCAAAGTGGGTCCTGAGGCTAGACCAGTTGAGAACCACTGGCCTAGTGGACATTGTGCACGCCCCATGGAGAGTCTGTAGTCCTCAAAGCGGGCTGCCTGGATTCAAATCCGACCTGTGGCTCCTTTCCTGCATGATTTAGGACTCTATCCACTGTCCTATCGCTAAACAACGGCTTAACAAGTCCAAAAAATGTTTTTAAAAAGCTGAATGCACTACACTAAATGAACAGCCAAAAACAGACAAAATGAAAGGACTTTATGTTTCCCCCTTTCTACTCCTCTTGCTGTGTCAGAGCATGATCCAGCCCATCTCACTATACTGTTCCTCCTGCTTCTTCAACATGTTATCTGTTAAAAACAGAGCCAAACTCAAACGCACCACAACCACAGCTGCCACAATAATCCATCTCCGCCATACTCAACCTAACAGAGTCACAACAACATGGATTTCAACCTCAGGAGATCGCACATCCACTAAACCCCCTCCTTCCCCCACTACCCTCAGGACGGAGGTACAGAGCCCTGAGGTGCAGACTGGCTCCCCTCAGGAAGAGCCTGATCCCTGCTGTTAAAGCTGCCCGGAACAAAGGGCAAGAGTGGGATGTTTTGATGATTGTTTGTTTATACACTGTGTTTAGTGTACGCACTGATCTCTGGTTGGTGTTATCTGTCGGAAAGATAACGATGGCGTGAAAAGGAGTTTCCCTAAGGGGACAATAAAGTCTAAAGTCTAAAAGTATCTAAAAGTAAGTCTACACAACAAACCACCAAATACAAAAACAACAATCACCAGATATCTCCATAGCAACACATCAACAATACCAAATGAAACATTCATCATTAGAGAATTATCAAACAGAGTTCATGAAACTTTGTGTGTATGCATGATGAGTACATGAATGGGTTGATTTCAGCCATGACTTCATCTTAATGGCATAGCACCTTCCTAGCTTTTGTTCTTTTTGGCCATGTCTCCAGCCCCCTTTGTTTCTTAGGTTTCTTATTGATCCTTTATTACTTTGGGAGGTTATTTACGTTTAATAAAGCTCAGGGTTAAACCCCAACAACTGTGTGGCATCTTTAAACGTTTTCAGTCTCCATGTTTTGAGCCTTAAGTTGATCATTTTGGTTAAGGAGGCTGTAAAATGCTTAAAAACATCACTTATAAAATGTACAGGTTATTAACTCACCACTCCCCGGTATGACGGTGGGATGAAACCACTGTAACAAGGGAAGAAGCAGCTGCACATGAGAACCTGTAATGTTCAAACTTGAGATATCAGACTGAAACTTTTGTTCATGACATCATCATCTCAGATTCCTCTCTCACCTGAATGAGCTCTTCTCTGCTGTCGAACTCTGAAACCAAAACGTTCTTCCAATCAGAAATTCTGGTGAGGGACACGCAGAGCTTTCCAGACGCCCTGAGGTGGGCATCTTCTGGAAACTTCTTCAGCAGGAAGTCCTTGACAGTCCGCAGCAGACTGAAGGTCGGGTGGAAAACGCCCAGAGTGTGTTTTCTGGCCTCTCTCGCTGTGGTCAGAACATCAACACAGAACTCCTCTGTGGAGAGAAAGGAAGCTAAATCAGTTCTTGTTCTTAGGCTGAAACATTAAGTGTGGAAATGGAAAGCTTCTCTGCTAAACTAAGTGGAAACAACACCTTTGTTTTTGTTTTGTTTGTTATTTGGCTGCCAGTCTTAGTTCATTCACTGTATAAAATTACAGCTCTACTTGTGTCGGCCTCAGGGTTGGCCTCTCTACCGATTTGTTCTCCCCTTTGCTGGCTTTGTTTTCCTTGTTGCAGGTAGATGTGGTGTCTGAGGTAACGCAGCACACCAGAGCAGGCTGGTTTCAGGAGGCTATAAAGCTCAGTCTCCTCACTCTTCTTCCCTGGCCTGCAGACTGCCTTCAGATTTTGTTTGTATATTGTGTTAGACTAATATCAATTTACACTCACAACACTGCCGACACACTGTGTGGTCTCCCTCTTTTGTCGCATACTATTGAGCCAGGTGACACAGAGGGGGGGGATTGCCTCTTAATTTGAATCTCAGGGGTGGCAGTAGCTCAGTCTGTAGGGACTAGGGTTAGGAACTGGAGGTCTGCCGGTTGAAGTCCCGGTGAGGAACCCCTCAACTGCTCTGGTGCCCTCCCTGTGTAGCAGCCTCACTCGGACATCTCTCCATTAATGCATGTCCACACGTCCTGTTAGAGCATGCGTGTGATTCGGGACTGTGTGTGTGAGAAGCATGTCTCTAAATAACAGAGTGTAAACCAGATAAAGTATGTAAAAAAAATAAAAGACTGAATGGACTCATTACTTCTTTCTCTTGTTTTTTTATTTACTTCATAAAACCTCTCCTACCCTCCTTTTTTACTTTACAGAAACTAGTGGCATTGTGCCATTGATCTCTCTTTTGTATGTGTGTTTTGAAGCAGGTGTTGTGAAATGTTATTCTATGGCTGTGAGTCTGGATCCACTGCTGTTCTTTTACACACATGCCTGGAACCAATACGTCTTTGTATGTTTCTGAAAGAGAAAGAAACAGGGAGGGGGGGGGTGGAAACAGAGAGGCTGTGAGTGACGGGGTTTCCCTTCATTTGACCCCATTTGCCTCACACTCCATGTGACCTCTGGAATTCGCTCTCACTATTACATGAACTGCTCGTGTGTCAGTGACCCTGCTCTGTACAGTGTTTACTCGACGTATCGTTCAAAAATGTTTGCTCTTAGATAACGTATCCCTGACCTCTTCGATGGCCAAGTAGTTCAGACACTACACAATGAACTTGTGATGCGGGTGACAGCCGAGTAAGTCAAAACAAACAACGTGGAAGAAATCAGAAGTTTACTTAAGTGTAATTTAAAAAACATCTTTTACATTTTCAGTGTATTAGTTAATATATTTCTCATGATATGTTATCAAACAGGCTTAGACTTAAACAAAAAATATTCCTGATATTCCAAACTGTTCCAAAGAGGCATACATTTGTAAACAATAATAAGCAACTGGACGGTTGCCTAATTGCATATCAACATTTCCCAGAGGCATTTGGTGCTACTTTATGTTTGTTTATGTCATAGACTGTAAATATTAATGGACGTAGCCTGAGTGACGTCACCCACATGTTCCAGCAGGGGGCTTTGGAGGCTCATCGGCAGCAGCAGAGTTTTAAGACTCCTGACAAGCCGCTACATCGTGCCCGCCTGTCAGTCATGTCAGCTATGCACCTGACTAGGGATAACACGCATCGTTCCTCAAATGTATTTTTGTACCAGGCTGTAAACATGTTAATTCATGCTGTAAAACGGGTGTTTTTGAATGTTGTGTGTATAGCCTTTTTCACATATGCACTCCGGATAATATCTAGATATTTACAGAAGGACTTCTCTGGAGAGTCTCCCTAATTGTTCACATATGCTCCTCACAGCGGGGGACTTTCCCTGTCAGAGGGGAGGTGGATCGGGGGATTTCTTGAGGTAAGACGTGACAGAGTCCGCTACTCGACGTTATAATGAGAATATTTGCCTTTATATCAATGCTACGTGTAATCCAATGGAATGACAACATCAACAAAAGAGTGGAGAACAACAGACTGACGAACAGAAAACATAATGCAGACGTTTAATTACGTTCACAGAGATCGTAGTGGTCGCGGGCAGACACTTTAGCCGGTCACTATATAAACGTAATTCTCTTCCCATTGGCTCGAGATGAGCTCGAGTTGAAATCTCCGGCGTATATTCGGCTGCGTTCAGACATCAGCTCACTTGGATTTTCTGTGGATAAAATACTAGGGGTCTGGCCGGAGAAACTCTGGGGAAAGTCTATGCAAAAAATGCGGCTGTTTGCGTTCACACATAGCCTAATGCACCTCCTAGTAGCCAAATCTCCAGAGTTTTTCAGGAGATTTCTGTATGTGTGAAAAGGGTTTATATGACTTCCGGTGTTCTTGCAGCCAGCCTCTAGTGGACACTCAAAGAACTGCAGGTTTTTGCACTTGGCTTCAGTTTTGAACCCTTCAAAGCAGTTGTCCCCGCTCCTATACTTATAATACATCTTACTATTTTTAAATATTTTTAACGTCATATTTCCAACTTTGCAGTGCAGTTTACTACAACCTTTTACTGTAATGTTTATCATGTATGGTTAATAAACAATATGTCAATACAATACAATAAGGTTCAGTGGAAAAACAAGGAACTGGACACACGTGCAGAATTAATTAAATATATTTGATTAAAAAAAGGCCAAAGGCATGATGTTGCCTGTTGATATATCCCCACTGTTGTTCAAGAAATTTGAAAATATCAAAGATTTTCTTTGGGGTAAAAAAAGGCCAAGAATTAACATCAAGAAAATGTGGTCACCAAGGGACATAGGAGGCTTAGGCCTCCCTAATTTAAGGCTATACAATCTAGCATTTGAAATGTCCAGATTGGGGGAACACTGGAGAGAAACGAACACTGAGTTGTGTTGGATCAAAATAGAACAAGAGCTGGTCAGTCCCTTCACACCTTTGGACGTTCTCTCACATGGATCAAGGACTAACGGACATGATTATTCTTCAAATCCAGTGCTGGCTCATTCAAAATTAGTCTGGAGAGAAGTTCACAGGATATGTGGAGCGTCACACTTAAGACAATCATATGCTTCTTTATGGTACAACCCGGACATACGGATTGGTAAAAGGTCTGTCTATTGGAATCAATGGCTTATAAAAGGGATTCACAAGATACGTGACCTATATGTAGATGGAAGGTTTATGTCTTTTTCTGAACTTCAGCAGAAATACGATTTGGAGTATAAAGGAAACTTTTGGAAATACTTACAAATCAGAGATGGTACCACAAAGGGCAAATTCACTCAATAAGAATCCTGTGATTTAATTTTTGGAGTTACCCTCTATGGCACACAGAGCAGCTGGGTTCTATAAACTCTTTAATGGGTTACAAAAAGATATATGTAAAAATTTGAGAATGATTTGGCAGAAAGACTTAGAATGTGAATTAAGCGAGGAGGACTGGTCAAAAATCCTATCAAATACGGGGAGGTATATAAAAAGGAGGCTAGGGGGAAATTTACTTGATATAAAATAATACATAGGTTTTATTTTACTCCTTCTAAACTCCATAGGATGGGCATACTGGCCAATAATTTATGTTGGAAGTGTCAGATAGAACCAGGAACATTTTTACATGCACTTTGGGAATGCAAACTTGTAAACCCATTTTGGGACAAAGTCATGGAGCACATAGGGTGGTGGGGTATGACAATACCTAAATCACCAAGGATTTGCCTGTTAGGGGATCAAACTGAATTGACCAAAGTATCGAAATATGACCTTGTTGTGATAAATGGCCACACGATTGATCCTTAGATTATGGAAAAGTATGTCCCCCCCTCAGAATTTAAGCAATGGATGGAATTTATGTCAGAAACTGTGTCTTATGAACAAGTGTTATCCAGAATTAATAATGAAGGTGAGAACTTCCAGAGGTTATGGGGCCACTCTTTTGCTTATACATGTATTGGTACATTGTAATGATAAAGATGTGGTACTGTGTATACTGTTGTTACTGAATTGTTATTTTGGTTCCAATTATGTACTCAATAGTTATGGGACTTTGGGCATACTGTTGTACAACAACAATGCTGTCTGTTTTGTTTGTTGAATTAAAATAAAAAGTTGAAATTACACAAAAAAAAGGCAAAACAAAAACTTACTTCAAAAAGTTCAACAAAAAAAACACAGGGATCAAAAACAGGGAGCCACACAGGAGCACGAGCAAAAACTGACATATACCGATAAACAACAATGAACTGACACAGAGGGCAAGAAACACAGAGACTAAATACACATGGGGGGTAATCAGACACAGGTGAGACTAACAAGACACAGGTGAAGACAATGAGGGCAATCAACACTGGAGGGAAACACACAGAGGCAGGACAAGAAACACTGAGGACAATTATGACAAATACATGAAACACTGAAGACACTGTTAAACATCAAGACACACTAGAACCGAGAGGGACACAAGGATATGAAATTACAAAATAACACAGGAAACACTGAAGACTAAACTAGGAAACACACAAGGGAAAAACCAGCAACACTAGGGAAGAACAGGAGAAATCAAAAGATGGAAGCCTCTAGATAACAATCTCTTTGCTGTTGTATTCTTTATCAGCGCTCATGGAATGACTTGTAATAAATGAATATACAAGCCTTATTTAGCAACAGAGTATGGGTAGGGGGCAGATCCAGGGGTGGCATGTGCCCGGGAAATCTGATCGCCTCCCCCTCCCTCCCTGATGTTGTCCCAAATTAAACTACGATTGGTGATTTGCCCTGGCAACGATTTGGACTTGTAACCATCTGTTCTTAGCTTTCTTTGCATTTCTATGTGGCACATTTCCTTTGGTTAGAACTTTAAAATGTAACTTTGATGAACAAACATCTCCTACTGAGTCCTTAAAGAAGAAGACAAGTTGTTACTTTAAAAAGTTAGTTAGTTAAAATAGATTCAAGGAGATAGAAAAATAAGAGCTTTACATGTGTGCACTTGAACTTCATGCAAAAAAAAAAAAAGGTCTGGATCCGTCCCTGTATAATGGTCAATAAATCTGTAACTTCCATGCATTAGGAAGTTATAAGTGAGAAAAACAGACTTTAAAGTAATTGTTTTTAGCAACATTTAAATATCTACAGGCAAATATAATAAGAGTGTGAGCCAGAAGAGCAGCACAAAGTCTCATCTCCTATGAACAGAAAACTCACCAATGGGAATCCCGACAGTCAAAGCTGCAGCCACGAGACAACCAGAAGAAGCGCCACAGATCTTAGAGGCTCCGTGAACCAGCTGCGGGACCCGCTCGAGGATACAGCTCAAAGCTCCCAGGTAGTAAACACTCCTGAATCCACATCCTGCAAAAGAAATGTTCCACTCCTGGTCCCAGTCAAACATCTTCTCTGAGGTTCCCATCACGTCGAAACCCGCATCTCTAATTGTATTCGTCTCAATTCACCTGTGAAGAGGTCAGCTGGGGCACTTTGCTTTCGTTCTGAATTTCATCAAATGTGTAAACTCCACTCTACACTCACAGTTAGATGAGGAGTGATTCTGCTGCCAGCGGCGGGGTGTTGCGCAACCTCTACTCTGCTCAAACGTCACAAGCTGTGAAACAGAAAACAAGCTTCAGAGGTCACTTACAAGAGCAATTAGGCCAGCTGCATGCCATGTGATATAGTTTTCATCACTGTAGAAGGAAAGGGGGACGTGGTGGGTGGGTGTGATTAACAACTACTGACTGGTTGTTACTTTACACCATCATACAAAGAGAAAAATAGGTACAAGTTTGCAGAGGTGTAAAGTAACGAATTACATTTACTCGCGTTACTGTAATTGAGTAGTTTTTTGCTGTACTTACTACTTTTTACTACTGTAAGCTCCTCCTCTACAGCGGGTCTACCTGCTGAAGGTGTTTATAAACTGATGTCTTATTGTCTTAAGTCCAAGATGATTTAAATAAGTTGGCTGTGGTTTTCTCACTGCAGCGTTTTCCACAATAAAAGTCCGTAATTCCCATCTCTCTGATGTGCATTTATTTTGAAGCAGACGTATGAGGAAGTTGGGTGTTATAAGCTGCTGAAACTTAACACATCTTAGATGTGTGAAAATAAATACTTGGAAGCTTCAGTAGCTAATAGGTAAACAAACAGTGACTAAAACATCTAATATTTAATCTCATAAAGGCTCATTTTAAAACAATAAATTGATTATCTTTCATCTCAGATTTAGTTGCAGCTAAGTCAGCCTTTGAGGCTGTTTTTGAGACTAACCAGCCTCAGAATAATAAAACTAAAAACACTAAAATTCTCTTTACACTGTTTATGATTGAGACAAAGATCCTTTTAGTATTTTCTTAAATAGTTTAAAGGCTTTAAATGTGATTTTTCGCACTTAAACGTAATAGAAATCAAGTATATCCTCTGAAAATAACTCTGTGAGTGATGACTGTCTACAATGGGTGTAACACCCGAGTCCCACTGTCTGTGATGTTTTCAGAGTCCTATCTTCAGTTTGTTTACATCGCCCGGATGGCCGGCCGACTCCTCCCCTCGAGTATAAAAGTTGTTTAATTTAGGGACTAGAGAAAAGAAGAATAACATACTGTACTCACTGCTTAACTGTGTTTCTAGATCACGCTCATTTCAGGTAAATTTACATGCAGTGTGAAGATACGAGCATAATAAAGATCGCTAGCATTAGCATGCTAACACAACAATGCACCACAAGTTGTTTTGGTTTCATGCTGGTGCTCAAGGGCGACATCTGCTGGATCAAAAAATCAAATATTAAGCCTTTAAACATTTCCCTTCATAAAACAGCTGATTACTTGAACATATAATCCTTGATTATTTATTCATCATTATGTATATTTTGTTTTTGTCAATGGGGTAGAAAAGAAAATGTTTATCTGAAAAGATAAATCTTTGTAAAAATTGGCCTTTAATTAAAAAAACTTTGAGATTAATATCCTCTCGTCCTGTTTTTACGACACACAAGAGACGCGTTGTTAAAAAAAGTAAATAAGTAACTTTTACTTAAAGTACATTTTAAACAAGTTACTTCTTACTTTTACTTGAGTACATTTTTAAACTGGTACTTTTACTTGTACTTAAGTCAAATTTTATCAAAGTAACAGTACTTTTACTTGAGTAGAATATATTAGTACTCTTTACACCTCTGCAAGTTTGTCAACAATAAATGGGAATCAAATGTTATGCACACATTTTTCTCAAGTATTCAAGCAACCTGCATGGTTTCCCTTTGATTACTTCTTCAGGAGCTCATTTTTTCAAAACAGCTGATGGATTGTCCTGTCCAATTTTCTACTCTAACCTTGTTACAGTAGCATCTGTTAGTAGTTAGAGTTTTGTTTTATGATGTCTGAAAACTTTAACATGTTACTATGGGTTTCTGTTGTCTGTGCTCTTTAGAAATAGTGAACACCTTGACCTTTGAACTTCATTAATCCCTTGAGGGGAAATTCCCTTTTACACTCTGTTATTGAGACATGCTTCACACATGATCATATGGACATGCACTGACGAAGAAATGTCAGAACAACATGAGCTGAAAGAACAATAGAATAGAATAGAATTACTTTATTGATCCCAAACTGGGAAATTGTGGCGTTACAGCAGCAGGTTATCCAAACACACAATATTAGCAAATAAACTAAATATAATATTAAATACAAAGTAAATAAGCACTAGAAATATCAAAACTAAGAATGAGAATATATACATCCAGGATTTAACTTAGGAAACAACCAGGCTGTTGGGGGTCCAGTGCCTTGCTAAATGGCACCTCATCAGAGATTAGGAATTTACCTGGCACCTCTCCAGCTAGCAGACCAACTACCATACTTTGGTCCACACCTGAACTGAACTTGAACCAGTGAAGTCCCCACAGACTGAGCTACTGCCGCCTTTGTGTGAATCTGTTCAGCAATTATGTTATAAAAAAATGATGTTTTCTTTAGTCTGCTTAGTCAACACTTCACTGCAAAAGACATTGTTGTGAGCTAATATTTTCAAATCAAGAAAAGCAGTCCATACTCAAGCCAGCTGCATTATTTAGTAATTATTATTTTTCTCTTCTAGCCACTAGGGGGCAGCAGAACAACCATATAAAGACAGAGACATATTATCACCTTGTAAAGATGTTACAGCTCCTGTTGGAAAGTTTTAGTTGGTGAGCTCTTTAAAATTAACACTGATGCCTCTTTATGAAAAAGACTGTCAGGGAGAAGATTTGGAATTTAACAACAGTCATTTTAATGCTTTAACCACTACCATCGGGTAGGTGTCAGACAGACCGATCTGAAACAGCTTTTGGTAACTTTGTTACTGAAAAAGAATCACAGTGAGTGATGCAGAGGGAGGAAGCAGGATGAGATTTTTCAACAGAAATATCTATTTGGGGCAGCTGTGGTCCGGGGTAGAACCGGCCGTCTCTCAATTGGAAGGTTTGATCCCCAGCTCCTGCAGCTACATGTCAAATGTGTCCTTGGGCAATACACTTGACCCCAAGTTGCTCCCACTGCTTCTTCATCAGTGTATGCATGTGTATGAATGGGATTAGTTAATACTGATGGACACTTTACACAGCAGCCTCTACCAGTGTGTGAATGTGTAGGTGTGACATGCGGTGTAAAAGCTATTTGAGTAGTCAGAAGACCAGAAAAGTGCTCTACAAGCTCAAGTCCATTTACCATTTTTTTTTGCTTATAGGACAAAGTCATTAAAGGCACCACTTTGTCCATAGGGGGCGCCAAAATAGAACCAAACTATTTCTCAGAGGAGCTTTAAAGTGAACTGAGAAAATATTGAAAACAAGGATATGTGGAGTTTTGTTTGTGTATATCGGATTAATTCAATTAAAAATATTTATCCTAAAAAATTACCTCAGGAGTTTAAGAAAATATTGCATAAGTACTATTGTGCTGTGCTAACTACAACTGAGAGAAAACCCTTATCTTATTTTATAGTGACACCAAAAAGCAGGATTTGTTTTGGCATTCCTTTATTCAATGTTTATTTTCACTTCTTCTCTTTCAATGCATGTTAAAGGTTTCATTATTTGAATGCAGGGCAGGGTGCTGAATCCTCTGTTTTCTTGAGGTTTAAAGTTCTCTAGTGCAATATATCTGATCCAGCCCACAGCTCTGCCCAAACCCCACCCTCTATCTTCTGTTTTAGGTGACTCTGCAGAGACTTCATCAAACCCGGGGGTGGGGCTGCAGGCGGGTGTAGCCGGTGGAGTCAAGGGCATGAGGTCCAGCTCATTCTGTTCATTCCAGGTGAAGGTAAGACTGAAGGTGGGAGTGGCTTCTTGAGTCATTGGGAGAGAATCGTCTTGTGTCAGATGCGGCAGGTTCAGGACTGATAGGAAGTTTTTACATCTGTGTAGTGGTGTCTCACTGTAAGAAGAGCAGCATGGAGGTAAAAGTTCATCATATGGTGTTTTCACAAATATACAAAAATCCTGAAATTTTCAGGGTGAGCTGCATGTGTGAACTGACTTTACCTAAACTTTTTTCCTTCCAGCCCACTAGAAAGATGTCTGCGTAAAGTCAGGGTGAGCTTATGAGTGTACACAGCAGGAATTATACAGGAAACAGTGAGAGCGAGCAGGCAGGGGCAATGACTTTTATACGAGCGACTGGTGTAATTGTTGTGCAAGTATTGAAACTGCTTCATACTCTTTTCTGCTTGCAATATGTTCTATAACACAAAGCACTGATTAAAGGCAGAAAGACACTTTTTCCTTTGTCGGACAATTCCCCGTCATTCTTTTAGTCCCACCCCCCTCCTGTCCGACAGTGGAAGTGTCCTGCTGTGAAGTGTAAATATGAACAGGCGGCTCAGAATGATTTCAGGGGCAGCTTATCCTAAAATATTGGGCAGTGCATGTGTGAAAAAGGCTTTAATGCTCTCCACTGCAGGAACATTTCCCAACGTTTTTTGGAGGGGAGCTCTGAGCATTTCCACACCGTGTAAAAAGGGTCAGAAATTAAACTCCAGGGACAATAGTTTATCCACCAAAATGTACCCTGGTCTATTATTACTTTGATGGGCCTTGCAGTGCTAAAAGTTTCAGATTTTCTGTTACACAGGTGCGGCTTTTTCCAATACAGGTCTTTAGACTTTGATGGAAATGCAGGCGAACAAAAGAATCAGCTGGGACTAAAAAAAAACCAAAGTTTTGGGTACTTTTGTTTGAAATATTGCTTCAGTTTGTCAGTTTACATTTTGCTCCAGAGTGAAATATCAGAACTATTTTATCTACAGTCATCTACAAGACAAAATGTATGATAGAAAACATTTTAAATCAGCTCTTTAGCTGGAAAAAAGTGGAAAAGAGTTTCTTTATGCAAGCTGCCACAGTGTGATGATTTTAGGTAATCTCAATTTGCACTGAAGCTATGACATCATGCACAGCCTACGTTTAAAAAAAAAAAAAAGGATGTTTTCATTGCACACCTGTTAGACTCCTCCACTTTGCCTTTCCAAGCGTGTTTGCAAATGTTATCAGCCATGCCGTAGAGCCAGCCCACATCCTTTGGTACATCTGGGATCCAGTTTACAAGTCTAAAAGAAAAAACTGACTGATATTATCTCATGTTGGCATTGGAAGAAAAA